AATAATGATAATAATAATAACATTTAATAATAATAAAATGATAATAATCATCATCATCATCATTATATAGTTGGCTATAATCATCTCATATCCAACAAGCGCGAGTGGAATAATTGTTTTATTAAAAACGCCCACAAAATCTCGTTGAATCTCCCCGACTAGAACAAACCGGAAAAGACAAGGGACTTCCGCTATTCACATGTCACACGTCTATCAAAACTGTCAACGCGCGAACGGACTCGCCTGGACTGAATGAATGAAAAATCAAAACATTGTAGCGATGAACATTAGGTTTTTAAAACCTCATCGGGATTGACGATTCTAGGATTTTACACAGCAGAACAGCTACAAAAACCTGGCAGATAATGTAAAGGAAAAGAATTTTTAAGTGACAGCCGTCGAAATTACTGTGAATTTGGATTTTCGGCGCAGTTATAAAAGTAAGAACAACGGAGAAAAACTATTACCTCGGTCGCTTGTTATGAAGTTGTTTGAAGCCACAAGCTGGTTTTGCTAAACGAGAAAAGAAGCTATACTGCCGCCTCGATTGCTCTAGTGAATGGCTGCATAGCCTGTATTTGTAGCTGGTTCCTCGTGATTTATATTCTTGATGTCGGATAAACAAGCCGCAGTTATCTATCGGCGAGTGACTCGATCGGCGAATGGCTTCGCGATCATAAAGAGACAAGACTTGTCTTCTTTCGCAGCTGGTCAAGGTACTTTAGTTCCATGTGTTTTCGTGTGATTTTCGACAAACTTTCAAACAAGCTCTTGTGGCTTTTATGTTTGTTTTTGTCTTTTTTCTTCCGATGAAATTGCATTTCTAGTATTCTAAGAAAGAATAAAACAATTTGCTTCGGGTGCCGTTCTATCCTTCGCGAAAAAAAAATCTCAGCTAGCTAACTGACGCGTACACCGACCATATATGGAGAGCATGGTATAAGAGCTCATATACCATAACGGCTAAGCCAATCAAAATGCTAACATTGCATTATTCAATGATTCTGTTTTTAATAAATAACAATTATTCACCGAACTAACAACAACAACAACAACAAATTTTATTGAAAATCGGAAAATAACTAATTACATTACTTTCCCACCCGCAAATAGCTTATGAACTAATCGAGGCGGGGGGAGCTGAACACAATTTACAAAACAAGATTTANCTTTAGTTCCATGTGTTTTCGTGTGATTTTCGACAAACTTTCAAACAAGCTCTTGTGGCTTTTATGTTTGTTTTTGTCTTTTTTCTTCCGATGAAATTGCATTTCTAGTATTCTAAGAAAGAATAAAACAATTTGCTTCGGGCGCCGTTCTATCCTTCGCGAAAAAAAAATCTCAGCTAGCTAACTGACGCGTACACCGACCATATATGGAGAGCATGGTATAATAGCTCATATACCATAACGGCTAAGCCAATCAAAATGCTAAAATTGCATTATTCAATGATTCTGTTTTTAATAAATAACAATTATTCACCGAACTGGCGGTCGCTAGTGGTTCATGTTAAAATCGTGGCAGATTTTAAAGAGGAATTAGTGAAAAGATGTTTAATATTGGTAGTGACTGCTAATAGTAATACTAACAATAATTAGTAAAGAAACATTTCCGTGGATTATATTTCAAGAGACAAGGAGACATTATGATCTTTTCACTTCTTTCTAACAGATGTGAAGGTACAAATTTCGTTTTAATTCTTTTTAAGTGAAGCACTGTACATAGGTCTTTTTTATGAGTATTGAATAAAGATTTATTATAACAATAATAGTCATAATAATGATAAATCACTAACTTTTGGTGGAAACGTGCTGGCCCCCTGCACAAGGGTGTGGTCGAGAGCTTCAAAGAAGTTTTTAAAAGTAACGAAGAATACCCCGATTGGCTTTCTTAAGGCAAAACCTCTCCCATACCGATAGAAAGCGAGTTCCTGAGTGAAAATCAGAGACCTATTACTTGTCTAAATAACATGTAGTGGTTTACATCTTGCCTCCTGGCACCCATGGACCAACACCTTGATTATTATGGCCTGATGGAAGGCCAGCAAAGAGGAGCGAAATCATGGTGTTTCGGTACGATGGATAACTTGCTAATCGATAGAGCAGTAATGCTGGATTTCCAGAAAGGCAAACGGAATTTAAGCATGCCATGGATTGACGTGCACAAAGCCTACGACTCCATCGACCATGATTGGCTATGCGACCTATCCGAAGTACACAGGCTTCCCGTCTGGCTGGGTGAGGTTATACGTAAGCTGTGTGGGAGCTGGAATACTAGAGTAGTAGCTACAACAAGGCAAGGGCGAGAGACTTCCAGAAAAATAACGTTCGTGAAGGGACTACCCCAGGGGGACGCTTTATGTCCTAGATTGTTTACACGGTGTCTGAAGCCAGTAGCGTCGCGCCTACGGGCAACGGAGGGATAGCGGTTATTCAAGCCTACAGAGGTCAAAGTCACCGATCTCCTGTATATCGACGACCTGAAGGTTTTTGCTGCCTCAGAGAAAAAGCTGAACCGAGTGCTGAAGGAAACTAGAGGAGACATGCAAGATATCGGCCTTCACCGGAATCAGAAAAAGTGCTCCGTGGTACACGTGACGAGGGGAGCCCAAGTGCTAGACAAGTCTGGTATGAGGATGGACGAGACAACCACCATCACTGCTCTTGGGGAAAGAAAACACTACAAATTCCTGGGGTGCTACAGAACGTTCGACAGGATAAACGGCTAGCCCTGGCGTGTGCGGCTAAAGAGTATCTGCGCAGGATATCTATTACATGGTCCAGTCCCCTGTCTCACTGTAACCGTGTACAGGCAACTAATCAGTATGCACTCCCGGTGCTAAGGTACTTAATGTGGACACAGCATTGGCCACTATCAGAGTTAAGAGATGTGGACAGAACAGCTCGGAAGATCATAGTTGAGAACGGTCGCAAGCACCCAGCTAGCCTAACTTCTTTGTTAAATCTAACGAGGAAGAAAGGGGGTAGAGGCCTGCGATCAGTCGAACAGGAGTACAAGCTCACTAAAATCAAGTCGCTACTAAAATTGCATCAGAATTCGGACCACACCATGGAAGCAGTTAGAGAATTTGAAGAACACGCCATGGCATCAGGCCACTGGTCGCTTGTGAGGGAAGCAGCTAAGTGCGCTGAGCAACTCAACCTCACACTTCCGCTAGATGCCCTAAATCCCGCGTATTACAACGGAAGGAAAGGTGGTGACTGCGGCAAGAGCTGGGAATCTGTTGAAGAAATCTCAAGAGCTGCAGTTCTTGGAGATCGCTAAAGACAAAAAGTGGCAAGGAAAGTCATTCCGTATCAGATAGGAAGATAAGAGCCTAAACATAACCAGCTGCTTTGCATGGTTAAGAGGTTGGGCTACATGCCCTAGATACACCCACGCGGGAATGTGTGAACTGTATGAGCAGTTATTACCTACGAAGCTCTACACCAAGGAGAAGACGCAAACCTCACCGGCGGCGAAGTCCTCTGCAGGTTTTGTGGGAAGGTAGCTGAGAGCGTTGCACATGTACTGGCAGGATGTTCCTCTTGGCAAAAACCAAGCACCTATACAGGCATAATGCAGCTTTGAAGATTCTGTTTTTTGAGCTCCTGCGAGGGCATGGGTTGCTAGAAGAGGTTCCACCATGGTACTCACCGGTGATGCCAAAAACCAGCCTACCAGAACACCACAAGTGAGGCGTTTTGGGATATTCCCATCTATACAGAGCACAACGACGTTAGAGCAAATCGGAACGACGCGCGACTTGTCAGCCACCAGAGGAAAGAAATCTGCCACTTAAATAAGCTGCCCATAGATTGAAAGTAGAGCCAAGAAAGATGAGGAAAAGACACTTAAGAATGGACCCATGCTGTGGGAGTTTAAGCAGAGATATAATGGTTACAGGGTTGAACAGTACAACGTAATAATTGAAGTACTACGTGGTTACTCTAAACACCTAGAGAAGTGGGTGAGAAAGCTACTAGGAGCGGACGCAGAAGTCGGTCATCTCAAACACTTTGAACATTGCCAGAACATTGAACATAAATACTTAGTTAGGGCGCTAAGGACACCAGTTTTGAAGTTTTTTCTTCTCCAGAAATCCAGAAACACAAGTGTTGCAAAACCTGTATTTTACTGAATGTTTTTTTACGTAGATTTTATAGAGTATAAGAGTTTGATATTATTCTAAATAGGCTTTTAGTAGAGATAACCACATTATGATGGTCTCGTGTAGGTTTATAAGAGAAAATGAGAGTATAAAAACTGAAAAATGTTCTAAATAGGCCTCTAGTAGAGATAATTATATCATCACGTCTTTGTGTAGGTTTTACAAAGTATAAGAATTTAATACTATTATAAACTGACTTTTTAAGTGAGAGAATCATATCACTATGTATATTAGGATTGTATTAGGTTTCGTAAGGAACTTTTTCTACTTCTAAGTATAGCTTCTCAAGTGGTGTAGGTTACGTTATGCGTCCTATACTACTCATAATGTGGACAGCATTCCACAGTTTTATACTGCGAGATAATATGTTATGGGTACTTTAACATGTAAGAGGGTTACAAGTACATCAACTGATGAAACACAAAAATTAAAGGTAGAAAAACAACTAGAGTCCCAAGAGGAATATTGTAGATACAAATGTATCACTATCGGTTTATTGGTTGTTTCGAGACTTCAAGTTAACACTTAAAGTATTTAAAAAGAGAAGAAAACTTACTTTATAAGAGGCCAGTGTTCATCATCATCTTTGAGAAATACAAAGGGATCCTCTTTAAAACCTTTCTTTTCCACCTTAGGCCTTTTTGTCGGAGGTTGAACCCTATGAAACAGTGAAGGAAGAAAGTGTAATCCAAACTGTCTGAAAAGGTTGAAGCAGCGATAGTAGTTGAAATAGCTATAAGTAATGGCAGAATATAAAACAAAGCCGCTTCCATGGGCGCTCAACACGCTTTCTTTGCATTATTGTAAATTGCAAATATCTTATCATCCACTCTCCTCAGAGCTTTCAACATTGCGTTGGGGACTTAGCAAGACTGCTTGAAGTGCAATTAACAATAAAAATTTGAATAATTATGAACGCACCTAGTGTGAATGTGAATTGAGATTAGCCACCACTATCTCATTTACGAAAAGTGTGTGGGTTCTTTAACGCCCCACAGAATTTTAAATACGATCACATGGACTGAGAAGGTAACTAAACACCTTTCATTGTTTGTATTTCAGAATGAGAAAAATTGAGTCTTTTCCTCAGTGACTTTGTCCCTTAACAGTAGGTAAACTTATATGTAAATACAATATTGTTATTTACACATCGGATTCCCCACTGCCTTTTTTGCCGCCACTTTTTCCAGTGCTCTTTATTTCTTTTCCAACATTTTCTCCTCTGCTTTCAGGTTCTTGCTTAGCATTATGACCTTTAACTAACTCAACAACAACAACTTCGCTGTTTGCATCATCCTCGATGTTTTCCTCTGTAGTTGATGCCTCACTGTTCATTTCAGCATCGTGAAAATCCATCTCATCAATTATGTCCTGAGTTTCGGAACTGTTTGCAGTGTTCTCTTCCTCCACGAACTCTTTCGTCTCTTTACTATTTTGCTCCTTTTTTCGCTACAAGAAATGAATGTATTTAAACGAGATTTTTTAATGCTACAAAATAGAGTAAGGCTGATCATAAAGTTAATACAGTCGAACCTCCCGTAAGCGACCACCCAAAGACTGGTCGCTTACAAGAATCGAACCGCAGGGGCTCTTCCGAGAAGAGGTCCAGGCCGATAACCTAGCTTCCCACGCAGGTGTTTTTGGGGCAGGAAATAAGACTCCCCTAAAAACGTCTGCGTGAGAGGCTACTGGTAATCGCCCTCCTTGTACTCCTTTTGACTTCATCAATTTTAATGGTCATTTACACGTCTGAATTCCACTTTGCTGCTAATCCTTTTTCGGAAGTCTCTTTAACTAACCCGTCCGGTATTTTCGGAACTCAGCGGCAATCACCGCAGGCGTTCTTAGGGCTTCGTCACTTGTTCCTTCCCTACATCTGCTTGGGAGGCTACGACAATCACTGCACGGTGAACCTTTTTCTGTATTATATTCGGGCTTTTCACGGCTTATTAGCTTCATTTTGTAGGAAATTTTCTCTGAGTAATACGATTTAGTTTCTCTTTGCCAATGCTCATAATAGCCCATGTTTTAAAGGAAAATTGTACAAAACCACAGCTTTCGCTCATTCACAAACAACGACTAATTTTGTGAAGGAAGCCATTACAGGAACTGTGGGTAGGGACAGGAAAATCCAAACCGTGCCAAGAACCAATCAGATTGCAGGATTTGTCACCGTCTCCTTTTGGAATTAAATAAAAAGCAAAACTTACCACAGACCGCTAGCCTAGGTTAGGCACATTTAAGGACATTTTACAAGGCATTTATATTGTTTCGTAAAAAGACCATAAAAAAGCGAGAATAGGGATTGATACACTTCATTAAATTAGATCCTAGCTTCCAAATCGATGTGATTTTTAATAGAATGTACAGTTTATAAATGTTGGAATGCAAAGCTCTTGTTACCTGCCAGTTGGCCTCACTTTCCCATGGCAGCAGTCTCCGGTTCAAGCTGTATCTTTTGTCATTTTCCCAAGGTGCGTCATGCTTTTTTTCAAGAACTGCAATAAAAAATCCACCTGTGTCCTGCTGGTGGGGATATATTCTCATACTGCAAGATCACAAAATAACGATTAAAACAAAAATATGAAAACTATTAGAACAATGACCAAAAATGTTTCATCTCAGCAGTCAACAAGGTTATGAGATCGTTTCTTGTTTGTAACTACCGTTGTTTTAAGACCTTTAAAGTGACCGCGAAAGGTTTTAGTTACACTTCAGAACAGCAGCCTCACACAACAATGTGTAACCAACCTTATTTCGCTCTGAAACTAGAACAATTATTACTTCGTATTAACAGCAAACTTACATAATTAGCATAATAAAAAACCATATCCCATACATAAAGCCTCGCAGCGGTGAGCCCCATAGCCATTTCATTTCGCTCTAACTGAAGATGAGCATGGCTGCGCGTGATCAAGAAAATCCTCCAGCTGGAGGCGCCATACATCCCGCCTCAAGAGGCTGAAGCGATTGACAAGGAAGGTAACGTCCACTATGTTTCCCTTGTCCAGAAGATTTTTAACGCTCCCGAGGTGCTTAATTTGCCTCGGCAAGCTTTCGATCGATTGAATTAAGAAAGAGTCGATGAAGCGATCCAGGCTCTCAGCTCTAACACGACTTTTGAAAGAGCGATCAAGGCTCACTCAGTATATGACACCGATGTCCCAGGCAACTAAAAGGCCTAGACGAGCTGACGACCTTTCGGAAGATGTTCTTTTTATTGAGCCCGATGCTTCTGAGCGGGTCCTTTCCATCCGATGAGGACGAGGAAGAAGACCATAATCCTTGCCAAAGTTTACGCTGGCAAGCCAATGAAGAATTATCTTCTTTCTGAGGAAAGCCCTTGTCACCTTTTGAGCGGAAAGCAGTTACTAAAAGGTATTCCCGCTCTAAATTAGACTCTCTTTACACTCCAACCAAGGAGAACTATCTACCTAGTCTTGTGCCTGGCGTTAAAACTGTCGACAAGCGCATGAGATTTTTGCAGGACCGTGTCTCGACCACATTTGGTCCGGTAAATATGTTATTTGAGCGTATTTACGGTCTCCTTGCCGAAGCCAAATCAGCCAAGAATGTAATCCTTAGTTGTGAGCAGGTGAAGGATCCAAGAGCAACTCCATCTAATTCGTACACTAGGTAATGCCTCTGCACTTCTTCTGAGAGACGTGAAGCTGTCCTAAACAAAACCAATTCAAAGGGAACTCTGTCGCCTCTTGCCTCACAAGAATTTCCGCAGACTGGCAAAAACCTTTTTTGGCGATGGACCGAGGCCACAATTCAAACCAGATAACAAACAGCAAAAATTTTGCTTCAAGCTGCTTCTGTGGTAAACCGCTCCCAAACTACTCAGGTTTTGCGAGGCTGCATCACCTCTTTCAAAAGATGAGGGGACTGTTGGGGTGGTACCAGTCAATCAGTTTCATCTTTCATTCAGGATCCAAGGAAGGGGTGCCAGAGGGGCCTACAGCAAGCTCCTCCAGCCACCCAAAAGGAAGGCCTCCGCACCTATTACCAGGTATGATTTTACATTGAGTCCTGACAGTCATAAGTCATCTTTCTCTAGCAGGTCGCCTGAAACATTGTATGTCCAACAAGGTCGCAATCACCAAAGACCCTTGGGTTTTGGAGGCTGTTCAGGGAGATCATCTTGATTTTTTGCGTGCCCACACTAATTCCCTCTTCCCCTAACAAACACTCACACAAAAAAGAGAAAAGATATTGTACAACTAGAAATTTAGTGAATCATTTAGAAAGAGGCTATTCATTTGGTCCACCCAGAGGAGACACAGCAAGGGTGTGCAAGCATCAAAATTTTCGGTTCCCAAAAGGGGGTGCCCAGAGGCCTGTGGAAAACTACCACCATATCAATCTGCACATCCATTACGAACATTTCAAAATAAAGGGCATTCACATTCTTAGGGTTGTGTTAAGAAAAGGAGACTTAATGGTCAATATAGACCTGAAGGATGCCTATTTTTTGGTAGTTATACGAAAGAGCCACCACAAATATCTGAGGTTTCTGTAAAAAGAAACATTGTGCGAGTTTGCCTGCCTTCCCTTTGGCCTGTCATGTACTCCCAGGGTATTCCAAAAGTTCATAAACCCAGTTGTATGACATGGTATTCGCGATAGCCTTGTCTGCGTCAACGGAACCCCGGTCGAGTTCGCCAGTAAGAAATTCGTCAAGCTTGCGACAGAGTGCAGGGAGTTCCATCATGTCACCTTATCCCCATACCATCCAAACTCCAAAGGAAAAGTTGTGTCCGCAGTGAAAGAAGCCAAATGGGCTATTCATAAAAGCCATCAGAGACAACTAAGATCTTGGTAGACTATAGAACTACCCCTAATGGTGGAATGCAATAAAGCCCTCAACAATGTCTTATGTCGCAGTAATAAAGACATTAGTCATCATAGCAAATACCCTGTGGCACCGTCATGATCCCGAAGGAGTGCCTGAAAAAATACAGCAAAACCACCAGAAAAAGAAGAGCTACCATGACAGAAAAGTTATCTACAAACAGAGACAGTTATTAGAAATCCTGAACTTGCCAAACGGAGCTATCCGACAGAACGTATCTGCCAAATTCACCTATGCTTTTTTTTAACTAGCAATTTCCATTAACGCTAATGCTTCTGGTGTTATGTCTGCAACCAAAATATTGGCAAATGTGCTTTATGCTGCGTTTATCACTTCAAAAAGTAAACATACATTATAATCTGTTAAATAACCATACCATCTTTCCAGGTGCAGTTTGCTTGCAACTTCCTCTGATGGAGCTAACATCTGTGGCTTAAAACCTTTCGAGAAGTGCTCTGATCCCGGATCACAGTTATCCACAATCTGCAAATCCTTGGTCATCAACTGCAACAGAAAATTTAGTGATCATGAACTACTGTAAATAACAATCTAAAATTATTAATCTTAATTCAACAAATTACTACAGGACTGCACAAATAATGGTGTTTTGATAAAGCAATTATTGTCCAGAAACGAGAGAGCATAAACGAATAAATGAATGAAAACTTACTATAACAACAGATCACTCTTACAGACGTTTATATGAGAATACGGCAGTAGGAAAAAATCTAGAAACCTTTGACTTAACGTTTGCTCACAAAATAACCCCTTCTGTCACGTTTATACAACTGAAACACCTGTCAATAGATCCGCCATCGATACCCACCACTGGGGACACTTTGCAGGAAAACTCTTTATTTTAGCCTCAAAAATCCACACTAATGACGTAAATCTGGCCTTTATGAGTTCGCAGATGAAAATTTGATTACGTTTCTGTTTTTCCTTCTCGGCTATTGAAAAATTTTGAGTTTTAGCACCCCTTCTTGCCAAGCCTAAATAATCGTAATAAAAGAGTGTTTCAAGATAGATACAGCACGTTGTACATTTTGATTTTTGCGACTTTCCTGACTTCTGTCTCTCATTTGTAAAAAATAACTAATGGTATATAATTACTACGTCAACCACTCAAAAAACCTGACCAGATTATGGTCATCGTCAGGTCATCAGTATGATATTATTTTGGCCAAAATGTAGACTTTTCTCTCGAGAAACGTCCCAGCAGCAGGAAGCTTTGATAGGGGGCTGTATTTGCAGGCTCAACTGAAAAGAACATTATCAGGAAAGCTATCCTTTCAAGGGAACACAAAAGGTTTCTGTTATCTGACTGCCGCTCGTGACAAACATTTATTAAAAATACAATTTAGTAGCCCCTATTTTCATTACTTGGAAACGGTGCGCCTGGTACTAGAACGGAAATAATTATTATCTGGACAGCACAAGATGCACGAGGAGTATTTTGTACCTTGGCAAGGATGGTTACGGTATGTAGAGACAAGCAATTTTCAAACCTTTACAAAGCATTATTAAAATCTGCCTAGATAGTTATTTTTCCTAGCAGTACCATAATATTGTAACTTTAAGTTAACTACTAATGAACAGTCAACTGATGCAAAATCTTATAATACCACCTTGACACCATAGACCTGCCCTTGTTTACCTAAAGCTTTAGTTCGTGTGACACATAATGTCCTTATAGTGATGCCTTAGACAGATAAAAAGAGTAGACAAACTAAGAAAGTTTGGAGGGTCTTGGACTTAGGGTATAAAAAGGGGAATGCAAACGGGGACCAAAATGAAAATGGTTACCTTCCACGTCTTCAACCCTGGTGATCTCTTTAAATTTGGAAGGTATGATGAAACATCAACTAGTTCCATTGCCCCTAAATCAGATGCAAATTAATAACTAAATTAACAGAGGCAAACAGTGCCCCTGAAATGAAAAGAAAGCAGTTGGTTTGCACAACGTCCATAATAGAAAGGACGATTTAGTAAGAATGCGTTTTACAACAGGACTTTGTGAACTGTTCATATCAGATCAACAAAGGATGTTTCTGAGTAACAACTGTTGCAACTAAATTAAAGGAATGTTTTAGTGATTAGTTTAACCATCTCAGAATAAACAAGATTTACCTTCAGCTTTTTGTAACAAGGTAGAGACAACGGCTTCATCTTCGACAGGATTAAGAGTACACGTAGAATATACAATGCGACCTCCAGGGGCTAGCATCTCCACTGCACGTGCTAAAATACGTAACTGGATGCTGTGAAATGAGGAATTACAAAAAAGTGTTCAATCAGCCATTTCAGTCCGGATATAGTAGTGACTAATTCAATAATCATCATTATTATTCATTCAAAATATTTCCCCGTTTCTGATTGGTTAAACCACACGCATAATTCACCATAACCAGCTACTGTTGACCAAATTTGGAAAGAATTTTGTCATATTGAACAGAATTGTTTTGGTAGTTAAAACAAAATGGCGGAACAGTCGGCGGAACATTTTACTCATTTCACTGCAAAATATTGTGTAAAAACATGGCAAGAACAGCATGAAGACGGACGACATCTGCTATTTGGAGCATCTTGGCAGACCTGAACAGACCTTTATCTCCTAAACTTCTCGCTTAAGATGCATTATCGATATGAACTTACATCGACCAAGGTTAGCATGTTTTAGCTTGTTTTTAAACTTGGAATTATTTTGAAGGAATAATAAAACAATGATTGAATTCGGCTTTGGCAGGATATGAAGAATTCTGCAGATCACGGAAGCCTCGATGGATAACACAGTCCTTGATCTGCAGAATTCTTCATATCGTACTCAGCCTCATTCAATAATTGCTAATTATCAACATATGTAAGAATTCAATTATCATCAAGAATTCATTTATCATCAACAAATGGTAGAATTCATTAATTTTTATCACAAACTGTAGAATTAATTGAATATTCACTCCTGACTGAAGAATAAAGCTTAAGGTGATATTGCTAATTTCAGTGCTGAGAAAGGGTTCGACCAGTATTAAATACTGGTTTCTACTGAGAGCATAAAACTTGAGAAGCTTCCACTAGCAGCACCCTTCCAACAACAAATAATGCTGATGGGGATGAAACCTATACAATAGATGCAAACTTGGTAGTCATTTATTTTGCCGACAATTTGTTTTGAGATGCACGGAATGAGAGCAACAAGCTTGAAGATTCCTTCAAAAGTTTCTTAAGATTACAGCGTAGTCGATAGAAAATAAGTTCTAATAACATAAATATGCCCGTCCACAAAGATTGAAACAGCAACAACACTAGTGAACTGGACAAGACGAATCACTTCTAAAGCTCGGAGAAAACACAACAGAGTTTTTCACCAAAAAATAAACCAACTCTTGTAAACAAGAGAGAATTTCAATATAGTTAAGGAAAGTCATCTATAAATGACAGTAGTCTATTCTAAGGAACGAGAATCAGAGATAGCAAAATGTTTATTTTTTTTAATAGTCAGTTATTTAATTAATTACCGAAATAATGCCATGCCAAGTTGTGGTGTCCACTTTTTCCAAATCAAAGGATTTTTCCTCAGCGTTCCATCACCGCTGCAGAGAAAAACAGAAGCATACTGAAGAGTCTAAACATTACAGAATATTTTAATGACACATAATTTTCTTGCAAATTCAGCACGTAAACAAAATGCATTTGCAACCTTTTCTAAATAATCCAAATTACAGGAAAAACTGGCAAATCAGGAGCAGATGGGACAATTTTGCTGAATAGGTACCCACGGACATGTTAAAATTGTATTTCAATTTTGAAAAATGTAATTTCTGATGGTTGAGTGACAAGGGAACGAATGAGTCAGAAATTTGATATTCTGACATGCTGGTGTTCCTAGGATAGTATCGGGCTATTTATGATTTTGGCGGGAGATGAATTGCGCCATTCTACGTCAGCTCAGTCCTTCTGATAGTTTTCCTTTTCGATTTCCCTCTTTCTCTAGTCAATTCCCTTGTTGCATCATGTCGGTGTCAAAAGAGGTGGAGGATTTCAGTTCTACTTCTTTGGCTGAAAATAACAAGGCATTATTGGAGCAGTTTTTCAAAGCTAGTGGCCAATTCTGCTGAGGGAATTTAACAATCTAGCTGTGGTGTTGCTGACAAACAACTACGCGAGATCAAGAAGATTCAACACGAGGAGCCGAAGTCCGTTAAGCAAAAAGGAAACAAGATTCAGTACAAATTCATTGCTAAGCTTCAGGATAGTCTAGACGAAGTGAAATCCCACCTCGAGTCCAACGCGGTTGAGAAGGCTAAAGCGTCCCTAGCTGAAGGTACGTCAATGCTCTCCAAGCGGTAGAAATTATTAAATTATCATATACGTATTAAATTGGTTGGAAGACCGTTGAGGAGTATGTTCAACGCGAGCTTGCCGATGCTAAGGAAGACGCTAAACGGATTCGTCGTGCCGAGGATAGAGCTGAAAAGACTCTTAAATCTTCAGCTGCGAAGAAATCTTCTAAGCATAATCCTTTCGCTCCGCGACCTTCTGGTTACGATTTTTGGCCTCCCAGAACGTCTACAGTAGCTTGTCCATGTTTGTTCCTTCCCTTTTGGTCGCTCTGATTTTCCTTCCAGGCAAGGCAGCCGTTTTGCTTGCGGCAGGTTTGGCTATTGGAAATACGAGTGTTCTCTAGTTTCTAATTCTCGCATTCCAAAAGGATTCTCTGATTCCAAGTGACTATCCTCAGAAGATCCAAGTGAGTGTGGTTTTTCAGTTGTTGATTCCCTGCAGTCTGATAGCATCTTTTTCTCTTCCGATCGTTCTGTTCAGGAGCTAAATGGTTTTGATTACAAAACAGCGTCCCCCACTATTACTTCTGTCCTCCGTTCACAGCTTTCTGTTAGGAGGAACCTGCTTAAATCCATCGATTATTGGAAATCACTAGGAGCTCCTAAATTTATTTTGAGTATTATCAGAGACGTCTACAAGATCCCTATTATTTCCACGCCATTGCCTCAACACTTTAAAGAACAATGTGTCAGCCTTTAAAGAGTCTGATTTTGTCTCCGAGGCTATTTTGGAGCTCTTGAGTGACAATCGCGTCGAGGAGATTTTTTCTTACACTCCTGATATTCTCAATCCTTTGACCGTTTCAATTCAAAGTAGCAGTAAGAAGAGGCTTATCCTAGATTTAAGCCACATCAATATGCATGTTTTTAAACAGAATTTGAAGTGCGAAGGCCTTCATACCGTCAGGGATGCTATTTCACTTCATTTTCTCTTTTGCTTTAAAGTCAGGATATCACCGCGTGGATATTTTCCCCGAGCATCGCAGATTTTGGGTATTTTCATTGGATTTTGGTACCTCTCAAACAAGGTATGTTCACTTTACTCTTTGCCCTTTGGGATTCAGCACCTTATAATTTCACTAAATTGTTGAAGCCCATGGAGATCCATTGGAGAATACGAGGTATTCCCATAGCTATAATTTTTGATGACGGCATTGGCGTTGATTCTACTCTGGAGGCAGCGAAAACTAATAGTTCTTCAGTTCATTCCGATCTCTTTCGCTGTGGTTTTGGCATAAATCACGAAAAATCTGTCTGGCAGCCCTCCACCACCTTTTCTTAGATAGGTTTTCATATTGACACTCCGACAGGTTTTATATTTGCAGTTGATCCTAGGATCGACAAATTGTGTTCCGGTCTGAACGAGGTCTGTGCTAATTTAAATAATTCGCCTTTCATTTACGTTAAGTTCATTACTTCACTAGCACCGAGTTGTGGGAATGTCACTCAAATTATGACTAGATTTTTGCACGTTGTCATCAGCCCGAGGCGTTGATGGAATTCGGAGGTTCTGGTTCAAGATAATGCGAAGAAAGGGGTTTTCTTTTGGAGGGACAATTCAAAATCCTGAAATGGTAAGCTGTTCTGGCAGGTTCCGTTTGTTCCATCCAAAGTTTTGCTTTCGGACGCTTCTTCTACGGGTTGTTGCGCTTTATTCAAGATTCTAGTCTGGTTTGTCACCGAACTTGGTCCGTTGAAGAGTCTCGTAAGTCTTCCACTTGGAGGCAGCTGGTTGGGATTCAGTTTGCCCTTTAGTCCTTCGAGAGTAATTTAATAGGCCAAAGAGTACGCTTATACACTGAAAATAAGAATGTTGTTAGAATGATTCAGGTCAGTAGTGTGGTTCAAAATCTACAGGACATAGCTTTGGTTCATTTCTGGAAGTAGTTTTATTCTTTGCACCCCCGTGGTGTATTCTCTTCATTCCTGCTCTTATTGGTAGGTTTACTGGTTTCTTTTTCTGCATCAAGTGAAGTATCGTATGTTTATTGGTACCTGGCACCCCCCGATGGTGACATGTACAGCAGTATCATTGCATTATGTTGTTCCATTTGTCCCCTGGTGGCTCGCCAGTGTCGTTCACTTGGCGTTTAATTCACGTGTGATTTAGGATTAGTGGCATTCGTCGCTGCACTTGGTAGCGTCTGTTCAATTTTTTCCCGATCGTCCCAGGACTCGTTTTGACTTAGGAATGTTTTGAATGTTGTTTTTGATGTTTATGTCTTGTTACGTTGTATGTTACTAATTTTGCATTTTCTTTTTCTCCGTCTCTTTCTCTATTTTGTTAGTTTCCTCTCTTGTTTTGTTTAGAAGTTTTAGGTTCCGGCATTTGGAAGTCTCTACATGCCCTCCAAGACCCGTCATTGAGGGACCTGGTTATAAATTGGAGTCTACGGTCAACATTGCATCCATAGCTTCAGGAACAACAGATGCCTACAGAAGATCCTTTTGGAAATGGAGAAATTTTGCCTGTTCGAGAGACGAAATTCAGGTTTTTCCCGCCAGTACAGAGCATGTTGCCCTTTACCTCCAGTACATGTTGACCATTACTCGTTCTCATTCTGCTTTGGGCTCTGCCATTTATGGAATCCAATGGGCACATAACTTGACTGGCATTCCTTCGCCGCCTGATAGCCCTATCATCCAAGCTGTTAGTAATGCCACCAAGTAGGTAACTGGAACTAGTTTGTTCAATAAAAAAGAGCTTGTTTCACCTGATATGTTAGAAAAGCTTGTGCAGGCTTCGACTTTAGATAACCTCCTTGAATTGAGAAATGTTTGCATTTTTCTTTTGGCGTTTGCAGTTTATTCAGAATTGATGAAGTTCTCCATATTAGGTATGGAGACATTGTTTTTCATACAGCTTATGTCGCTATTAATGTTGATAGAAGTAAGACCGATCAACCTAGGAAAGGTAATGAAGTAGTGATTCCTGAGAGTCCTGGCACTCCTAGTTGCCCTGTCAAGATTTTGAGGCGTTATTTAAGTAAGGTTAGTCCTTATGTTCTTGATTCCGGTCACTATATTTTCAGGTTTTACGGTTTTAGCGTGAGACTTGCGCGATAATACGTCAGCTCAGTCAAACTGATAGTTTTTGTTTTGTGTTGCAAGTTTTCCTTTTCTATGTTTTATTTTTTTACGTCTTCAGAACTGTATTTTTTCGAATAACGTTTCTTATTTCGATATATAATTTATGAATTTAGGTATTCAGACACGCACCCTTTTCCATTAGTATAATTTTGGAAAAGTCTATGTAACATTATAATGTATTTTCATTGCAATCCCTTTCCCCAGAGTTTTACCACTGCATCAGTAGGGGAATACGTTTCCACGCATTTTTTGGCCACTTTTTTTTTGTATCAGGCATGGTACAAGTTCTAGCTTAGAACATATATTAGTATTTTACTAGAACGATATCACTGATTTAACATCTGCATCAGATGACTGACTGACACGTCCTAAATAAACGTTTTCACACTGAATATCTCGTGTTAGTGGAGTCAGAATCAAATGCTTGATACAAAGCTTTGAAGCAATCATCTCTTGCTTCGAGTAATAAAATAAGTTAGTCCAGAATTCACCAAACTGATAAAGCAACTTGCAAGTTTCCTTTGAAGCTTGCCCCTCGTTAAAGATAAATATTTTAGTTTTATAACATGTGGAATCTGACATCTGAACAGTTGAGCTCGCAGTCAGGTAAGGCAGCACATGACTTACGGTGCATGTGCAAAAAGAACAGAAGATGAATATGTGTAAAGAACTACCATTATGGAACTCTTTATGGCCGTTAGGAACTTGTTGCCTTTGTTTATTTCGGTTGTGAGCGTCATTGCTCACATGTACTTGTGATTTCAACATTAAAATCAATTTCACAAAGCAGTGAGTTTAGACAACCCTCTCAGTTCTGCCATTTTAAATGACTGACGTTGGGTCAACTAACCTGCATGGAACATCACAGAGTATTCTGTCAAAAAATATTGGCACCTTTTCACCACCTTCCTAAAAAAAATGGTAGCCACAGTAACAAATTCATACTATATTTAATAAAGCTACTATTGCAAAAAATTGGTCATCTTAAAACTTGTCTTTTTAAAGAAACCTTCCAATTCAAAATTTTAGTTCTTTTATAATCGTTCCAATTTTCCTCACACTCTGTTCCCACAAAGGAAACATACCTAACCATCTCATCCTATCTTAAAGGAAGAGACTTTTTCACTGAATTAACTCTAGTCTCAAAAAGGAGAGGCCTTGTCAAGGCTCAAAACATTATCCTTTTTGTTAGTCTGGGAAAACTTCTGTATAAACATGACCTGCTACTGTGTAAACTGGCTTGCTTCTTTTGTGCATTAATAACCGTTTGCATGAACTTCCTAGGGCAAAAAACCCATAAAATTCTAAAAATAAAACCTCCTCCATTAAGAAATTTACCATTCATTCCATCAAAACACAAACATGACCAGTATAATAAGCCTCCTGGAGCTTATTTAAGGGAATTATCTTCAAATACAAATTACACGTTTTAAGTTATTTTATAATCGTTCATAATTCAACCAGACAATCTCTGTCGTGAGCTTTTACATGTTGGAATTCTGTGAATACTGAGCTACATTATTATTATCTACTATTATTATCTCCACTGAGATTTATTGCTGTGAGGGTTGATCTTGGCATGTACAGCGGATCATCTTCTCATGATTTTCTAGTCATTTGTACAATGAAAATTGTTGACACAAATGTTCCTCCACTGACAAGGCAATGGGATTTTGAAAGAGAAATTACTTTCGTAAAAAGACTCTTGAAAAAGAAAAAGGCCCTGCAGTTCATTTTCAGGATATTAAGTACTTCAATACCATAGACCTTGACTCAGGGTACTGGCAAGTTCTAAACAACCTAGCTAAAGGTGATTATGAGGTCTATACTCAACACAAATTTCAGGAATTATGGTATTGGTGCTGTTCAGTAAACCAGTTGACTTTAACCAACTTTTACTACAGTATAACTTCATAGCCATCAAGAACGATGTAACCCCTCAGGTAAAAAAACTACTTGATTGAACTGGGAAATTTGCCTCCCTATAAAGGTACAGTCAGGACACTGGCCACAGTTAGTGATTTTTCGGGTGTTTTACCCACCTTTCCTGAAATCATCAACCCATCATGTGGGTGGTATTGATATTTTCTGACTACAAACATTCTATTAACTTACCTCTTTTGTATACAAAGTGGGGAAGAGAGTAGCATCATGATTTGTGATCAAACAGCAGGGACTATGCAACCTCTTGCTCTGATGAACAAGCATGTAGCATCTCTTGTTTTGAAGTTCATTTGCTACAACCAGACCCTCTGCAGGATAAAAAGACACTATGCATATCTGCAATTTTACTATTCTTCCTATGTATGGTGTTCATGGACATGTATCAACACAATCAAAGTCAGCATCAACACCTAATGCCATCCTTTCTGCATCTTTTTAATTTCTGTTAGACACCTTGCCTTGCAAAATGCAAAGCAGTTCTAATACAGGTAAACTATTGGAAATAACCATCACATCAGTTTCTGCCTTCTGCTGGCCTTCAAAAGGTATAGTAGTAACACACTGACAAAACATTACAAGGCATTCCTTATCAATATGATACCCAGCTTAGTATCCGAACCAAAACAGAACATACATTATTGTATACTTTACCAGGTATCCCTAATGTTTCTTCACCATGAAGAAGTTCAATAAGTTGAACTGTTTTAGACCCAGGAGCAGCACATGCATCCAATATCTGTATTGACAAAAAACAAAAATTATCAGAGAGAAGACAATCTCATGTATCTAATATTCTTGACTCGTGCAAAGGAGATAAACAACGGAAAAAATTTCTATTATTCTGCATTTGCATTTCCTATTTAATCCACTGGCCCCAAAAATTTTGCCGAAAAACGCCATTTTGTGGTCACTATCTGCCCAAAACTCACCACTTCTGGTTTGTCATGCAGTTCATGCAAGACAACTTTTTGTAACACTCAGAGTGCTAAACAAGAACATGTCTTGAACACATACATGACTGCTCAAAACCTGACTGTGTCCCAAAACCTTCATTTTGGGGTAATTGTGCCAAAAAACTGTTATTGAACAGATTGACAGTGCAAAATTACCAAAAGTCTTACGTAAAAGGGAAGCCTAGCTATCAAATGACAGGTGGGAAAATTGTCTGTGATATGCTTGTTTTAAGCAAAGATAAGACATAAAAAAAAAACATATTATCATTCGTTGGAAATTTTTCTTTCTTTGCATTGGCCAAGAGCTCATCACGTGACCTGCAAATAACTGCCTACAAATAATGGTCTGCTCATGCACAATGTCGTCCAACTTTGTTTGGCTGCAAATAATATTCTTCTCATGCATAAATGAACCACGCTTTTCTCCTTCTTGCTCTCACTCTTGCGTTAAAATGGCAGACCACTTTGCTTCCCGAAGATATACATTAAAAAAAAAACAAACTTGATGATCAAATGATAAAATAATTATTGTACTTGGTTATCGCAATGTATTTTGATTTGTCAGTGTCTCCCAAATCAATTATTTGCCTCAGCCTTCAGCTTTTTGGCAAATAATTGATCTGCTCGCCACTGACAAATCACAATATTTTGCTCAACCTTGTCCAATAATTGTTAAATATCATTATTCACTGTTAATACCAGCAATATACCTACCTTTTGGCCTGGTTTTACATCTAAAAGCAATGGCGGAATCATACTGACTGCCTCTTGGCGACTGATGTTTCCCTGAATTAAGAGAGACAGAACACTATGGTTTTTATGTCATTAAATAGTCAAGCCTCCAAGAGGGGCACATATTGAAAAAAATCCCCAGTCAAACACCAAAAGTCGACAACCTCATAAACAATTGCAAGTGATGGTTTTACAATTTTACATCGTTTTTACTGTGCTTTTCAGTAACATGCAAACTTTGAAATTTAAGCCAGCTTACAACAATATTGCTTTTTTGCTTCCGTCAATAATAATTATGAACACAAGCAACGAACCTTGAAACACAGAAACACACAAAGTGGATTGAAATCCTCCAATCGCAAACCACAAACCCTTAACTTTAATTTGAACTCGTTGAAGTAAGCTTCTCTTTTCTAACAAGTCTGCTACGATGACTGACAGCAGCAAAGAACACAAACGTTAGTTGGTTTTGAACTTCAGAAGCACAGTAACCTGATATATGCATTACTTGACACATGATCTGATCTCTATGTTTGCTCTATGTACTACTCTACAAAGAGTTTAAGAGTTCTAATTTTATTCTGAAGACATTAGCCATGGGCACAGGGCAGCACTTCATCCTGGAAAATATTCTACTCCCCCCCCCCCTCGATAGGAAGCAAGTCAACTTCAGCATTATCCTCAGCATTATTTTACCAGTACCCATTAAATGTGACCCTCCATGTGATTCCAGGGACAAAGGTGATGACACGCTCACAACACGCTAACACAAAACGCTAACACAACACGCGTAGGGTGTCCAAAGACACACAGACAGAGACAAAAGCACAGGCTCATTGAAGTGTGCTCTAGCGTGCTTTGTAGGCGTGTTAAAGTCAATTTCTTTTGTTTTTAACTGGAAGCATGTTGTGAGCGTGTTATCACCTTTGTCCCTGAAATCATATGGAGGGTCACAAATAGACCTACAATTGGTGACAAAATAGTTGAGACATTGTAATCAAATACGGTAACTTCAGAGAACAAAATAATCCGCACCCTTCCCCTGCCCCCTCCATTCAAAGTTGGGGTGTTTGTTGTTTCTGTAGGTAGAATCGGCGACAAAATGAGTTGAGACACTTTGTCCAAAAGTGGGCTTTTTTACGTTTTATGAACTTCAAAAGAAGGAAATATAGCTTTCCTCCCCCATCCCCTCCGTGCAATGTTGTGCCCTTGTTCTAGCTACCTATAGAAAACAACCAACACCCCAACTTTTAATGGAGGGGACAGGGGAGGGGTGCGGATTATTTTGTTCTCCGAAGTCGCCCTATTTAAGTACAATGTCTCAACAATTTTGTCGCCGATTGTCTGAATCTCAAAAGTGGCCGTACGTCCTTGAGAAAGTTAATTGATTTCATTTTTTTTATGCTGGGATGTAAGATCCCTGGTGGCTTTTTATTTGTTATGTTTGACTTCATCATACCTATTTTAGAACAATTAGAATAAGCCGATTTCGTTATTTTCAATGCGTGACATTTCGTGTCACGCTTAACCGTGCCTTGACATCGTGCGACGTGGCGCGTCGGGCACGATTTCTTATTCTCTCCTTTATCGAAACGCATCCAAACAAAGAACAAAGTGAAAAGGATAGAAAACTTAATAGATTTCTTGGCATTAAAGTAGTTATAATGGCTAAAATTGCTCTTTAGGAGGAATTTCCACGAGTAACCACGATGAGTATAAAAACAAAATAATCTAATTATCTTTTAAGAACAAAGTTGGTTACTTGTGGTTACTCGTGGCCAGTCTCCTCCCAACCTCATAGTTTCTACTGTAAAGTACATTCTTCAAAGACCCTTATGGGTATATGGGCAACGAATCTGCTGCACAGATTTAGCGATGCTATGCAGCTTTGCTGTGCATTAGAAGTTGGAACATTTTTCCTGAACATTCTCCTGCGCATAGCAATCATGGCCATTTTATCGTCCATCCCACCCTTATCAAATAGCTAAACTTCGAATAAACACTTCCAACTTACTAAGGATATATTCAAATACAATATATTATCTGCCATCGATTCCTACCGATCACACTTAGTTACCAGAGGAAAATCAATCATTCTGTACGTGGGTATGCTGCGTAATTACTTGAAATCACTACCGAGTACAAAGATTGTCAAAACTAATTTTCCCTCGAAAAACACAGGAAACGGTTATATGGGTATCGTATCTATCTTCTGAAAAACGACCCGGTGAATATAGTAATCTAATTAGTTACCGTCTCCTAACCGGTGCTAATAGGACAACAGCGCGAAGATTTCGGTTCAGACTGTCTGAATCTCAAAAGTGGCCGTACGTCCTTGAGAAAATTAATTGATTTCATTTTTTTTATGCTGGGATGTGAGATCCCTGGTGGCTTTTTATTTGTTATGTTTGACTTCATCATACCTATTTTAGAACAATTAGAATAAGCCGATTTCGTTATTTTCCGTGCGTGACATTTCGTGTCACGCTTAACCGTGCCTTGACATCGTGCGACGTGGCGCGTCGGGCACGATTTCTTATTCTCTCCTTTATCGAAACGCATTCAACAAAGAACAAAGTGAAAAGGATAGGAAACTTAATAGATTTCTAGGCATTAAAGTAGTTATAATGGCTAAAATTGCTCTTTAGGAGGAATTTCCACGAGTAACTACGATGAGTATAAAAACAAAATAATCTAATTATCTTTTAAGAACAAAGTTGGTTACTCGTGGCCAGTCTCCTCCTGACCTCATAGTTTCTACTGTAAAGTACATTCTTCAAAGACCCTTATGGGTATATGGGCAACGAATCTGCTGCACAGATTTAGCGATGCTATGCAGCTTTGCTGTGCATTAGAAGTTGGAACATTTTTCCTGAACATTCTCCTTGCATAGCAATCCTGGCTATTTTATCGTCCATCCCACCCTTATCAAATAGCCAAACTTCGAATAAACACTTCCAACTTACTAAGGATATATTCAAATACAATATACTATCTGCCATCGATTCCTACCGATCACACTTAGTTACCAGAGGGAAATCAATCATTCTGTACGTGGGTATGCTGCGTAATTACTTGAAATCACTACCGAGTACAAAGATTGTCAAAACTAATTTTCCCTCGAAAAACACAGGAAACGGATTATATGGGTATCTTATCTATCTTCTGAAAAACGACCCGGTGAATATAGTAATCTCAATTGGTTACTGTCTCCTAACCGGTGCTAATAGGACAACAGCGCGAAGATTTCGGTTCAGACAATCGGCGACAAAATGAGTTGAGACACTTGGTCCAAAAGTGGGCTTTTTTACGTTTTATGAACTTCAAAAGGAGGAAATATAGCCTTCCTCCCCCATCCCCTCCGTGCAATGTTGTGCCCTTGTTCTAGCTACCTATAGAAAACAACAAACACCCCAACTTTGAATGGAGGGGACAGGGGAGGGGTGCGGATTATTTTGTTCTCCGAAGTCGCCCTATTTAAGTACAATGTCTCAACAATTTTGTCGTCGATTGTAGCTCGAACATCAGTACAACATTGCATGGAGGGAATGGGGGAGGAAAAGCTATATTTCCTCCTTTTGAAGTCAGTAGAACGTAAAAAAGCCCAGTTTAGGGCAAAAGTGTCTCAACTCATTTTGTCGCCAATTGTAGCTGGAGAAAGACATTTTTCTTGCCCACAGAGCCAAAGTTCGAGACATTAACCACTCAGCCATCATGTCTCCACAATGAATGTAAGTGCTCTATTTCCAGTTTAACCTGCAGAATCACAAATGCCATCATTGCTACTTACCTTCTTCTACCCAACAGATAGGTAGCAAAGAGGGTAAGCAACCTTAATAAAGGGTCCTTACCATTTACACAGACCACCCGGGTGGAAATCTTGTTCACAAACATAAAACTATAAAACTCAACATGGTGTGAAAAAATAACTACAAAATGTATTAAAATCAGCTGAACAGACTATAAAGAGAGTACATGAATTACATTGCCCCAAATCACAGCCCATATGTTCTGAAGCTTCCCAAATGGAATGGTGCAAATCATTTGATTTTCCAACTGGAATTTCCCGATTCCCCATGTAAATGGTAACTACTTTTAAAGGTCTGTACAGTCAACTCTCTTTTTATAGCGGACACTGTAGGGACCTTGGGCTAGTGTCCACATTAGAGAGAGTCAGTAATGGCAGGAGTTCATTTCAGTTAAAGGTCTGTAATTTATTTTTGCCTAGGGTTTAGCTGCTGTCCGTAACTGGGTGTCCGTAAGGCAAGAGTTGACTGTACTTTGGTTTATTGATTCATGGAATATTATGCATAAATGAAACAGAAAAAGATCTTAGCAGTTGCTTTCAGTGTGTTTACTGGCACTGTGATCTCAGATTATTGACATAGCGATTAAAAACCCAAGCTGATAAAAGGAGCGTATGGGAAAAAACAACTCAAAATTTGATTCCAAAATGCGAAAGCTGGCTTGACTATCCTTACTAACAAACATTTTGAAACCATTGCAACCATTTTCAAGGACTTTTCAAGACGTTTTCAAGGATAATGTAAGATTTTAAAGGACTACCTATACAGTGTATAAGGAATGTATTTTCACAGATTGTGCAAAAATGCAATTCCCTTTCAATTCTAACAGGGCTTTAAGGCTTGACCTGTTTGCTCTACCAACTTCTCTACATTTTTTAGTTCATTTGTCTTAAGTTGTTAGTTAATTCGTGCATAAAATATGAAAAATGCTTGATACAAATCACATTTAACTTCTCTAAGCTATGATTTATATACTGTCTTTGACAACCAAAAAGCATTTAAAAAAACTCTTTCCAGGCCTCTACATTCAAAGCTGAAGAAAGTTCAAGGACTATTCACAGAAAAATGGAATTCAAGGACATTTCAAGGACTCCCTCTAAAATTCAAGGACTTTTCAAGTCTGTGCGGACCCTGCCAAACCTGTACTTACAGTTTCCGTTTCATGGACCAGGAAACTGTGAAACTTTTCCATTGACGAGGATTTTCTGATAAATTTTTTAGTAAAATTTATCTGCCATGCTAATTCATCAGGATACCTGAAATAAATATTACATTGATTTTGAATTTTCCACATCATCATTTTGTTGAGGTTTTAAATAAGAAAATAGTTATTATTCCATGGTGCTGTAATTCTTGAAAATATTACTGCCCATATGAGCAAAAGCAATATGAGTTCTCCAGTTTCCCCTCTCCTAAGAAACCAGTAAGGAATAATAGATATTTCGAACAATATGTTTGATTTAACATTAACCGCAAGAGTTAGTTGATCATTAAATGATTGAGCAATTGAACTCGTGATATATTTCATTATTAGTTTTTTGTTCTCAAGTAGCTCAGACAAGTTACACGCGGACAGCAATAATTGTTTTCGCACAGTGTTTACAGTCAGTAATTTCCTGACGGACAGTTCAAACCTTTTTGACCGAGGGAGGTTTTACCCTTCATGTACAATCATCTTATTCCTTAATCTGTTCGTCTTTAAACTTGTTCTAGCCATTTTATTGTAATGTAATCAGAAATCGGCTTTGCTTTGTGCCCCAAATAAGATTGGAATGTAATCTTAGAATCGTTCGTTTGTACCTTGATTTTCGGAATTGCTACTTTATTAAAGCTATTAAAGGATTCCTTGTCTCGGTTGCTATCTGCTGGGGTCTATACCAAAATTTCTGAAGGATTTGAGCGTCGATTTAGCCGGCCATTTGGTATGGTACCCTTGTAGATAATCCTCTGTTTATGAAAGATGACAGACAAAGGTGGAGGAACCAGTGAAGAAACTATAAACCCGGAGAATGCCCTTAAGAAGAAGAGAAGTCAGCCGCCGAAGAATAACCTTGGCTATTAAGCGTATTCGTGAGATACTAGATGAAGATCAAGTTCAAGCGAACAAAGCATGTCTGGGGAAAGAAATCAAACAGCTTCGAAAGGACTACGAAATTGCTCGAGAGCAGAAGGGTGAGCTGTATGATCTAGTGGAGGCAGAAGAATATGACACCATGGATCAGTGGGAAAATGATATGGCTAATGATGTATTTTCCATTGAAAACGAAGTGGAAGTTTCTTTAATCGCGCTTGAAGAAAATCAAGTTAACACAAGCGGTTCTGTGGGGGACGCGAGCCACTTAAGTAACACGAGCGGTTCCGTGGGGGACACGAGCCACGCAAGTAACACAAGCAGTTCTGTGGGGGACATGAATCACTCAAGTAACGCAGACGATTCTGTTGGAGAGGCTAGTCACGCAAGTAACGCGAGTGACACAAATAGTTCTGTTGGGAACTCAGGTCAATCAAGTGGCACTAATGTATCGGCAAATTCCCAGGTCCAGCCCGTTCCTGCCCAGGATTTGACAATCGTGGAAAATCATGCTGGTCACACCTCTACTAATAATGTTGAAGCTCAACAGACCATACAGACGTCAAAACAACCGCATGTTTCACATCAGGTGGCATTAAATGTTGCTTCTAAAGGCAAGCTGGAGCATGCCTGCTTATTTGACTTTTGGATTGACGACCTCCTTGAGTTTAAGAGACAGTCCTTCCCAAGTCCGACGTAGGAAATGTCACGATAGCTGATGCGCTTTTCAAATTAGAAGCTAATAAGGACATTCCTTTAATACAACTACCTTCCTGCAATGGTGATCCTCTCTCCTATACAGATTTCATAGATCAATTCAAGATCCACATCCATGAAAAGGTAGACCATAAAGATGACACGCAAATGATTCAGTTGCGTATGCTCTTAAAGGGCGAAGCTGAACGAGCGATCTCTGGCGTGGGATCAAAGGGCATAATGTATGCTACAGCTCTAAAGGGTCTGAAGGAGCAGTTTGGCCAGCCGAGTGTAATAGCCAGAGCTGTGGTGAACAAGCTGACTATGGGAGACAGGATTGGAAGGAACAACAGACAAGCTCTCAGAGAATTCTCACTGGATATCATCAATTGCCTTTCCATCATGCACCGCCTCAATTATTATGCAGATGTAAACGCCAACGATAACTTGAGAAGAATTGTCATGCGTCTTCCTGACTATCTCGTAGACAAATGGAAAGGGGTGGTGGCAGATATTAGAGAAAGAGGCCAGGTTCCCACGCTTCAACACATAAGTGACTTTGTGAGGAAATGCGTCAAGGCCGAATTCGACCCAGACTTTTATTCAATCTGAATTTGGCGGAGGTGGCCGAGGAAGAAAGGGGATTCAGTCGACCGGATTGACCACGGGCAAAAAACTGAAGTGTTCAATATGCGAAGGTAGCCACACAGTACCCACCTGTCTCACCCTGAGTGACTCAACTGTGGACGAACGGTTTAAGTTCGTAACAAAGGCAACATTGTGCTTTTCCTATCTAAGCAAAGGTCATATGACAAGAGACTGTCGCTCAAGGAAGAAATGTGAGATCAATGGGTGCCAAAGGTTCCACCACTCCCTGTTACACACGGACCCTCCTACAAGCGGAGTCGCATCTGTGTTGGACATGAACGGCATCTTGCCAGTCGTAAAAGTTCGTTTTAGAGTACCCAATGGTCGAATTAGAGAGGGGAATGTTCTGATTGACAGTGGAGCAACTACGACTGCGATCCGTAAAGGTTTGGCCGTTGTTGGAGGAGAGACAGTGAAACAGCCCGACAGCAGGCGTCTCAAGTTCTGGATTTCTCCCGTCGAAGGCAGTGAGGAGTTCAGCACAGAAGCACACGAGATTGAAAAAACTGTCTTTGGCATCCCTCCGTTAGATTGACAATGGTTATTGTCCTTTAACTATCTCAGCCACATTGTCCTGTCACACAAGGCTGGCCCTGTAGACCTTATTCTAGGCGTTCAATACAGTCACCTACATGCCAAATGTGAAATTCGCCAAGGCCGTCAGTTTGATCCTGTAGGCAAGAGAACCAAATTGGGATGGTTTGTCATTGGCTCTGACAATGCCAAGAATTCAGATACCGTTTGCAGCATTAGTTTTGTCCAACTGTTGAACATCTCGGAGTTTTATGAGCTAGAAACTCTCGGCGTCCAAGCAAGAGATTGCTCTTGTTCAAGAGTAGCCATGTCGCCAAATAAAGCCATAGAACTAATGGAGAACTCCCGTAAGCATCGAGGAGACAGGTACATGGTAGGGCTTCCCTGGCAAAGGGACAAATCCCTTCTTCCAAGCAATTATCCACTGGCGGAGAAGAGGCTCTTCTCTTTGGAAAGGAACCTACTCAAGAATGAAGCTAAGGCCAAACGGTACGACAATGCCATAATGGAGTATGAAAAAAATGGTTTGGCCCGCGGCCTGAGCGAAGAAGATTCAGAAGCCAATGTCAAACCGGTGCATTATCTCCCTCACCACGGAATATACCGACCTGACAAGAAAAGCACTCCTTTAAGGATAGTCTTCGACCCAGAATGCCAGTACCAAGGTGTCTCCTTAAACTCCTTTTTACACAAGGGTCCATGTCTTATTGCAAATCTGCTCTGAGTATTGCTTCACTTTAGAGAAGAACCTACTGCCTTCGTGGGGGACATCGCAAAGATGTACTTACAAATTGAGTTACTGGAGGAAGACACACACGTCCATCGGTGCCTCTGGAGAAACCTGGAGTTTACAAAGAACCCACCATCTACGCCCTACAAAGAGTGACCTTTTGTTATACTGAAAATGGCCAAGGATAATGGGAAAGATAATCCACATGCCGCAGTGATTTTGAGACGTGACAGGTACATGGACGACTTGATTCATTCTTGTCCGACAACAAAGGAAGCTGTGCAAAGCATTAAAGAACTTGACCAAGTTCTTGACACCAGCAGCTTCAAAATTAAAGAGTGGATATCGTCGTCTGAAATCGTCCTAAATAAACTGTCACAAGTTTCCCTGAAGAAACCTGATGCAGAAAAATCTGTCGAAAGCACAGCTGTACTGACCGCTGTCCATCTAGATGGAGAAAGACTAGAGCTGATGGCTTCCCTCGTGGCTTTCCGACTTGCCCAAACCATCTGTGACGAGTTTAAGATCAAGCCTGTGTCAGTTACTTTCTGGTCAGATTCCAGGATCGTTTTACATTGGTTGAACTCTGAGTCAGTCTCGTTTAAGCCCTTTACGTGAGTTTGTTGCCGAGATAAAGTCTACCTGGGACCCCAAGTACTGGCGACTTGTTCCAACAAACCTTAACCCTGCTGACGACCTTAGCTGAGGCATCTCTTTGGAAGACATCGATATGCGTTGGAAGAATGGGCCACAATTTCTAAAAGGCCCAAAGGAAGAGCGGCCAATCAAGTCAGTTTGTTTAAGTACGGAAGACGATCCCGAGAAAAAGGAGACAAAGACAATGGCCCCATTAAGCAATCAGAGACCACTGATGGATCCTTTACATTACTCGAGTTGGCAGAAGCTCACAAGAGTCACAGTGTATGTCCTCCGTTTCGTTCACAACATAGAGTTCACATTCAGACCCAAGAAATAGCTGAGTGGGTCTGTTGCAGGCAGAGGAAATCGGCACGCAGAAACGTTCTGGATTGCCAGAGCACAGAAAGACCTGCCTGATTGGAGAGATCGTTTTAACAATTTGGCTCCATTTATGGATGGCACCATCAGAGTAGGTGGTCGACTAAATAAATCACAGTTGGACTATGACCAGAAGCATCCCGTGTTGCTGTCTTCAACCAACCATATCTCCCAGCTTATCATGGAAGATGTTCACCATAAAGTTTCACATGCGGGCCCGGAAAGAACCTTGAGTGAAAGCCGCCGAAAGTTTTCGATTGTACATGGAAGAAGCCCTGCTAAGAAACTCGTCAGAGATAGTGCAGTTTGTCGCCAGCTATGCCCGCCGCCACACACCACTGTAATGGCAGAATTACCTCCTGAAAGAGTCTTGCCCTTTTCTCCGCAGTTCTCAGTTACAGGAGTAGACCTCTTTGGCCCATTCAGTGTGGAAGGAACAAGTCTATTATAGCGTGGGGTGCTCTCTTTACTTGCACAACCATGCGAGCCACCCATCTGGAAATAGTGTAAAGCCTGTCACTGAGTCCTTCCTTCAAGCCCTACGATGTTTCATGTATCACCATGGGTGGCCAGCTACTATTATCACCGACAACGGGAAGTCCTTTGTCGGAGCAGAGAGAGAGTTAAGAAAGCTGGTGATCGAAGGAAGAAAGCAGATCAATGATTTTGCTGTGCTCCACAGGGATATTTACCACACCCTACAGTCCCCACCAGGGAGGAATCTATGAAAGCCTAATTAAGCAGACCAAACGAGCATTGCGGGTCGCTGTCGGTAACCAAGTCCTGTCATGGAATGAAAGGTCCACTGTCTTTGCTGAGGTCAAGTCCCTGATAAACAGCAGGCCCCTTGGTTATCTATCCAATGATCCAAACGATCTTCAGCCATTAATGCCTAACCACCTCCTTCTCAGGGGAGCCTCATCCTGTGTTCCTCAAGGCCCCTTTGAGGAAGTACGAAACCCAAGAAAGCGCTTTGAGTTTGTGCAGACTTTTTGAGACGATTCATTCGTGAATACGTCCCAATGCTCAAGTGAAGATCAAAGTGGCATACCAAAGGTCGCCAAATCAAGGTCGGCAATGTCGTTCTTTTCGTTGATTTCAACGCCCCCAAGGAAAACGGGAACCTGCCTTAGTGAAAGAGGTCTATCCAGGAACAGATGCTGTGGTCAGGAATGTCCTCGTCAAAACTAAAGATTCAGAATTGAGGCGATCAGTCCAGAAATGCTGTGTTATCGTGAAGTCAGAGTAAGCCCAGACTCATCCCCATCTCAAATGGTGCCCCCAGAGGATTTGTTATGAACAAAATGTTTGACTTAACATTAACCGCAAGAGTTAGTTCATCATTAAATGATTGAGCAATCGAACTCGTGATATATTTCATTGATCATATTTCATTTTATTGTAATGTAATCAGAAATCGGCTTTGCTATACGCCCCAAATATGATCGGAACGTAATCTTAGAATCGTTCATTTGTACCTTGATTTTCGGAATTGCTACTTTATTAAAGCTATTAAAGGATTCGTCGTCTCAGTTGCTGTCTGTTGGGGTCTATACCAATGGACGGGGAAAACAAGGATTCAACAAGGAATGATAGACAAAGAACCACTATGTAGATGTGCTACCTTTAAATCATTATAGCATGCCCAGAATGTGATAGCCATTTCTTCTTTTTTTCTTATTAGGCTTGAATAGCGTAATAAGAAACTGATTACTGTACAAGACCATTACCTCTTGTTTACACTGGTTAGAAAGATGTCTTTAAGGGTTTTTAGTGGGGGTTGATATCGCCGGCTCAATTACTTTCTGATAGTAGCTTTGATGCTAATTAGAAAGAAGAGTGACGAATCGTGCCGTAATAGCGTAATAACGTAATAAGAATGAAACACTTGCCTTTACAGTTGTTTTGATGCCAATAAGAAGAGTGAAGAACCTTGCCGTAATAGCGTAACAACATAATAAGAATGAAACACTTGCTTTTTACAGTAGCTTTAATGATAATGATAATGATAATGAATTTGTACAAAGCTAAAACTATAGAAGAATATTCAAAAGCGTGTTACTGGAAGCCAATGTAAGTCGATAAGAGCGGGTGTGATATGATCAAATTTCGCAATCTGAAAAGTCACTCTAGGTGCGGCATTCTGGACTTTCTGTAAACGATCAAGCTGATATTTAGGTACACCAAATAGAAGTGCGTTACAGTAATCAAGGTTTGAAGATACAAAGGCATGGATCAATGTCTTTGTGGATTGCACGGTAAGGAATTTTCTGATCTGTCTTATGTTGTATAGTCCGCAAAAAGCCTTGCCATTTGCATATGAGCATCGAACCAGGACCCAAGGTTCCGGACACTTTCTAAAGGTTTAATGATGCTGTCACCAATGATAATAGATTCAATAGATGTTTTTTCAAGTTGTTGACGGGTGCCAATAATTGGAAAGTCAGTTTTCCTGTCATTAATCATTAACCAATTTCCAATAACCCAAGAGCGAACATTAGCAATGCACTTTTCAATCACAGAGACAGCGTTAATTTCCGAAAGGATAGAACAAGGTCGGAAGGAGAGGTAAATCTGGGTGTCATCAGCATAACCATGGACGGAAGGGAGGTGCTGAGAAATAATGTTAAAGAGGTGGGAGACTTGGAGAGTAAATAAAATAGGCCAAATACAACTGCCCTGGGGGACTCCACAGTTCAGATTGAAGTTGTCAGAAGTCTTATCAACGACAAGTATATGTTGTTTGCGACCAGACAGAAATGAGTCGAACCAATTTAAAGCAGTTCCGACGACTCCAAAATCCTGTTGCAAAATATTCAGAAGAATGGAATGCAGCACTTGGGTCCAAAAGTACGAGAAGTGTCACTTCCTTATTATCCATACTCATTAAGATGTCATTTTGAACCTTTAATAGAGCCTCTGTTAAGTGATACTTACGGAAGCCGGCCTGGAATTTAGGAAGAGGGGCATTTTTCTCACAGTGGATGAGAAGTTGTTGAAGTGCAGCCTTTTCCACTACCTTGGAAATGAATGGAAGATTACTGACTGGACGGAAATTTTGTAGACCAAATTAAGTCCAGGTTTTTTCAATAGAGGAATGACAACAATGGTTCTCCAATTTTCTGGAACGCAACCACTGAGAAGAGAGAGATAAATCATCTCAGTGATAGAGGGCGCTAATACATCAAGACAGGACTTTACTAGCCATGTAGAAACAGGATCCAACCGACAAAAGGCATTGGAGGATTCCCGAACAACCTAACACCCTTCTCCTTTGGACAGCGAAGGAAAATTCTCCAGATTCTCCTTTGTAGTAACAGGAGCAAGTCGAGGCTCTTGAACTTGAAACTTGTCAAGATTTTCCTTTATGATTTCAATTTTTTGGAGGAAGAAGGTGCCAAATTCGTTTGCTAGCTTAGTGGGATCATTGTGCTCTGGAAGAGCCATCTCAAGTGGTTCCCTGGACAAAGAATTAACCACACGAAATAGCTTGCGAGAGTCACCCGCACACTGATCAATTAGGTTTGAATATAAAGAAGTGCAGAGTACTGATTACGAACTTTATGGTAATTATTCCAGTCACCAGGGAGGTCAGTTTTCAAGGCTTTCTTTTCAAGGCGACGACGTTTATGCTTGAGTTGTTTAATATCAGCATTAAACCACGGGATCTTTGGACGATTTATCATAATCCTTGTTTTAAGCGGAGCATGCTTGTCCAAAATGTCAGTGAGTGTCATGTTAAAGCAGTCGGAGAGTGCATCAATGTTGTCCCAGTGTACGCTTGTACAAAGCATAGAAGAGGCAATATCAGCTGAGAATTTGAAAATATCAATATTTTTGAGTTTACGAAAAGTCAGTTCTTTGCATGATAAAGCTGGTCACGGGAAGCCAATAGGACACTGAATAATAAAATGATCAGAGATGGGAAAAGTAGCTTTAGGAGAAGCAAGAACAACATCATCCGGCAAACGAGTAATAATTAGATCCAAGGTATGACCCAATAAATGGGTCGGGCCGGAAACGTGTTGCGAAAGACTAAACATTTCCAGTAAATCCATAAATTTCTTGGTGTCATTGTCACCGAGGTCATCTCAATGAAGGTTGAGGTCTCCAAAGATAACAAGCACCCTGGGGCACATAACAACATTCTCTAAAAACTGAGAGAATTCATCAAAGAAAACAGAGGCAGAAACAGGTTGTAATGAAGAATATGGAAGTCGATACACTATTATATGTCTCATTGAGCGATCGTGCACTTTAACAATCCACTCAGAATATTCGTAGGACTTGTTTTCCTTCCCATCCACTAATGAAACGTTGACAAAGTCTCGAAACAGATTCCCAGTTCCACCAACACTGTTTTGCGATTGTCGAGAAAAATTCTTGAAGAAATAACCGGCCACAGACAACTGAGCAATACTGACAGAATCAGCGTCATTTAACCAGGTCTCGGTAATTGTGCAGAGACCAATGTCATTTTCTACGACGTGGTCAATAATGCTCTCGATCTTGTTTCTAACAGATCTAGAATCGAAGACAGCAAAGTTTAGGAAAGTTGAACGTGGATTGACGAACAAATTTGTATGAAGTGAAGAGTTAGCCGAAGTAATGATAGAAGATAAGTGATTGTTTATATTCACAGGTGTAACGACGCAGAGGTTATTTGAAATGGATCCTTTATGCAAATTATCGCTTCCTCGGCTAGCGCCTGGATAAGAAACCAGGCATTCAATTCTGTCAATGTTTCTAGCTCTCCTTTCTCTAACTTGATGGCCAGCGCGGCACCTCCTGTAGGTCGATGCTAATGGCAATGAACAAGGCCGTTAAGAAAATCGATGGTAGACATTCGAATAGTAAGAACCACAAAATCCAACATGGCGGGTGTCAGCATAATTTGTAGACAACAGTTTATCACTTGTATGCGAGACCAGGCCAGATATCACAGGAATCGCAAGTAGACAGGTCAGCAAATAAATTGGTTTCTTCTGTAAGGGACCAGGATTAAGCTCAACATCCATGTGGACAGTTAAATCTATTGGTAAAACCAAACAGGTTGGACCATGCTTGTACCAGATCAAAATTGGCTGCCTCGGAAACTTTAGTTCTTGGTTGTTCTTGATAAAAGATGCCTTTGCGTTAAACTTAGTCATAATCAGGTAGCAGAGGCCTTTAGGTTGCCGTACCATATAAAATTGTAAGATATAAAGCAAGTTCAGTAAACGAAATGAAACGACAAATACAGACACAAACGGCTGCCATCTTGATCAGCGCTTACAAAAAGATCCATAAGAAGGAAATCAAAGTCTTTTGATGCTAAAAAGAAAGAAGAATGAAGTACCTTGCCGTAATAGCGTAACAACGTAATAAGAATGAAAAAACTTGCATTTACAGTTGCTTTGATGCCAAAAAGAAGAGTGGAGTACCTTGCCGTAATAGAATAACGTAATAAGAATAAAACACTTGCTTTTACAGTAGCTTTGATGCCAATAAGAAAGAAGGGTGAAGTACCTTGCCGTAATAGCATAATAAGGATGAAACACTTGCTTTTACGGTAGCTTTGATGCCAATAGGAAAGATGAGTGAAGTACCTTGCCGTAATAGCGTAATAACGTAACAAGACTGTAACACGTAGTAACTTCGGTATTAAACATTTCAAGGCAAAGTTACAAGTGGTGATATCATCATCTGCTTCTGATCAATCAGTACTTCGCGGTCATTGAGGTCATTTATGACTACCGTGAGGTTGCTTAGTTATCCTGGCAATAAAAGGGGGTGTTAGGCCGACACGACTTTTACCTCATGCTAAAATGCTGCTCATTCCAATATATTTTTTTTCTCTGCTAGGTAGATTATGCTCTGGAAGGTTCCACATTTTCACTGAGCAAATGTGATTTTAGCGACATGTTTCACACTGAGAGGTCATGACACACATATCGATTTACTGTAGTTATTGTTTCTGGTCGGCAGGATTTACCCTCTGATGCAAGCGCATTTTCTTTGACCTCTTTTGAAGCGTAAAGCTGTTTATTACGGTTGAATAAGGGTTCCAGTTTTCTCCAAAGTGCCTTCTGGATCTGAATAACTAAGCAATATTCTTTAGTCCGTGAGTGTAATGTCTTTCTGGAAAGCTGTATATCACGTTGGGCCCAGCTCGTTAGTTTTCTTTGCAGAATGTTAACTTATCACGGATAGTGATTTACAGATCCAAAAATATAAGAATGAAGTGTAGCTCAAACTGAAGCTACATCAGCGTACTATGGAGAAATGAATTGTGACTCAGTAAACTCCAGCTTAGTGTTTTTCTAAAGATAGTGTGATTCTGTTGACTGGAGCACGTAATTTCTCCCTTGGTAGCAGCTTTTGAATAAGCTTAACAGTCTTTAAACTGTTTTGTTATTGCCACTTTTTGATCTACAGGCAAGAACATGGTTTCGGTTCTCCACATGAACCTCATCAGTTGCTGGGTTGGCTTTGTGCTTAGTTGCTTTTACAAGAGCAACTTTACTTGTACTTTGTCATAGCGAGAACGGTACAGCCGTTCTGTCTATTTAGCTTTGAACTTGAACATTAATACCTACGTGGCGGATCGAAATTCTTGCTTTCCTATGGGCTACTGAATGTAACCAATTACGGAGTGTGTATTTCGATCCTCTTCTCCTTCAAGTTTTTGGAAACCATTTCGTGAAAATTTAAGCACTTTCTTTTCTGGAAGAGTTCGAAGACTCTAGTGAAAAGAGAGATTAACAAGTTCGGGCTGGTTATCCAAAGCTGGAATTACTAGAGTGTTATATGTGTTAATCCAGCCAAGCAAAGTCAGATGAAACATTTTTTTATTTTTGGGATAGTGTTGTAGGTTGCAGTAAAACAAAGTAAAGTAAAGTCATCGAAAACTAACTAAAAACAGGAAAATTGCTGTAAAATATTAATTTTCCTTCAAATAAGAATAAAGCAAAATGAAATTTAAAAGGTTTTCTAATGAAAAGTTCGTAAATTTCTATCACACTTTATTCCCGGTAAGAGACTAATAAATAAGAGTGACAGTTTTGTTCAACAAGGTGTTTTTTAAAACTTATAACTTCCTTTAACGAATGTCTTGGTGGAGGAGAAAAGCTTGTTTTCTACAGTAAGCTGAAACCACAGCAAATCATATATTGACTTTGGCAGCTCCTCGAGGTCCCTCAAGCCAAGGTGCTCCTTTTTTCCCTTGTAGATTTTGGGGAGACCATTTTTTCCTGATAAAATCCTTTCCAGTAGTACTTGAAAATTTCGTCCCCAACAGATTTTGCGTTGAAGCAGATTAAGAAAAAAACTAAACATGTTGTGTTATTATGACCTCTCAAAAATAAGTGTTTTGATGAACTGGTAGCCTGCTTCCTCGCCCGTCCTTCGCACTTCTCACGCACCTGAAATTCCCTTTCCTTCCCTATCGAACCCCTGCCACGTAAGCTAATTAATTGAGGTTGTTTCTGTAGTCAAAGGAATTTTTCAGGGTGTCCAGCGGCATGGTTGCTCAAGAAAATAGGAAGCTCAGGATTGAGAAAATAGGAAAAATATGAAACTTTGTATCAAAAAATAGGAGAAAAATAGGAAAATCAATAGTACTTTTGTCGACAAAGATAGCCTTCCTACACCTCCACCAGGGTTATAATAAAGGCTACGAGTCCTCAGCTTGCACGTTCGAAGAATTTAGATCAACTTTTGCTGCTTAGAAGGAGTGAAAATGATCAGTAACGTTTAGTTTATTGGCTCAGTTACGCTGTAATCAGAATGATATGCTTGACTAATGGGCGAGCGTGGTTCTGTAATCAAAGGTGATCATAATTATTCAAATTCCCTTCAAGTTGGTGGCGAATCTTTGAAAAGCTTCGAAAAGTGCATAAAATTTCTTAGAATAGAAATTGCTTACAATTGCGTTATCACTGAAAGATAACGAACTAGGACTAAAAAGTCCTACGGAAAGCTTTCCTTCTATTAATCTGCAATCGGTAGCTGGTCGAGAATATGCTTGTTTGAGTCAAAAGACTGCCTAGTTTTAAGTACGGAACCAGGCTTTCCGCAGTGTACGCAAAATGATAGTGATCTCTTTGGTACCAGATTATAAGTGTCATGGTTAAGTTCTAAGAAGAATGTAACTCTCTGCTTAGCTATGACTGCAAGACCGGTTTCACAAACAAAAATCAATCAATCTCCACCAAGTTGCACCAACATGCACCATGTTGCACAAATCTGCACCAACTTGCACCAATCTGCACCAAGTTGCACCAAACTCCACCAAGTTCAATCTGCACCAAGTTGCACCAAAGTGGACCACATTGCACCAATCTGCACCAAGCTGCACCAAAGTGGACCATGTTGCACCAATCTGCACCAAGTTGCACCAGAATGCACCAAGTTGCACCAATCTGCACCAAGTTGCACCGAAATGTACCATATTGCACCAAGTTGCACCAATCTGAACCAAGTCGCACCAATCTGTACCAAGTTGCACCAAACTGCACCAAGTTGCATCAATCTGCACCAAGTTGCACCAAACTACACCAAGTTGCCCAAACTGCACTAAGTTGCACTAAACTGCACCAAGTTGCACGAAACTGTACCAAGTTGCACCAATCTGAACCAAGTCGCACCAATCTGCACCAAAGTGCACCAAGTTGCATCAATCTGCACCAAGTTGCACCAAACTGCACCAAGTTGCCCAAACTGCACCAAGTTGCACCAGACTGCACCAAGGTGCACCAAACTATACCACGTTGCACCAATCTGCACCAAGTTGCAACACACGACTTTTACCTCATGCCAAAATGCTGCTTGTTCCAATTATGTTTTTTTCTGACGGGTAGATTATGCTCTGGAGGAAAACGTTTTCACTGATCAAATGTGATTTTTGCCGCTTATTTCAAACTGAAAGGTCATGACACGCATGTTGATTTTCCGCGGTCATTGTTTCTGGTCGGCATGATTTGCCCTCTGATGCAAGAGAATTTTTTCTTTGACCTGTTTTGAAATGTAAAGTTCTTCATAAATAACGGTTTTAGGTTGCTTAATTTGTCCAAAGTGCCCCCTGGATCTGAATAATTATAAGCGATTTTCTTTTTATCCGTGAATGTGACGGTTTCCCGCAATGTATTGTATTGTTCCTTAAAATGTATGAACAGTCGGAACGTTGTAATTTCAAAACAATATTTTCCATTTCCTCTTGTATACGCGTTTTTTCGGCAAGTCTGCCCGCAATCGCATCTGGCGAGAAGCCTTCTGCTAAACGAAGCGTTTTCGACATGGTGTTTTTCCAACGTACTAGCACAGACTCTATTAGTGTCAGAATATCACTCAAACAAAATCAACCATTACTGTTGATGATATCAGCACAGAGTGTGAGCAATCAATACGAATACACAGGCATGCTACTAGAAATATCAATCAAACAAAACCAATCGTTTCCCTGGATGAAACTGCTCCACGATCTGCGAGCAATCAATAATACAACCAGCAACCTGCCCAGAATATGCATGAAGTGCGTGACAAGGAACCGTGACAAGGAACCGTGATGAGCGTTTCACACAGACGCTCTTCAAAAGGCCAATCATAAAAGCGGTGGCAAAAGCAGTACAATCGGATGTCACAAAGTAACCAATCAGGGAGCTGAACAAAAGAACAAAAATTAATATGAAGATTTAGGCACAGTTCATATGTCGTGCTTCTGTTCGACAAAAGGACAGCAGAAGCACGACAAAAGCACACAAAGTAATAAGGAAAAAAGAAGGAAACACACCTCCCATAACGCGCACCATATGTAAATCATTTGTAATTTTCTTTGTATACCTAGTTAATTATTTAACCCATGCAGATGACGGTTGCCAAATTTGAAGATCAGGCAAATCTCCAAATGCTTCCATTGTGCATTTTCCTTACAGAGCATAATTCCACGAACAAAAGTGTTGTTAGTGGAGTGACCATGCAGCTGGGTTAAGATGCTGAGGGACAGAAAAAACCACCAAATTTTTCTCAACGCTTTGAAGGTGCTTGCTGAAACATTGTCTCAGTTTCCGCCTAGTTTTGCGAATGTAAATGGCAGAGCAAAGGTGAGAGGAGATGCTGTAGACTAAGCCAATCTCGCTTTCAGTTGGCTGTTTTAACATCAGTCGAAATATATGAAACAAATCATATTTTGAACTGCAGATAAATACATGAAAGTGAACATGATCAACAAACAATGCAAGTTAAGTGGCTGAAAAGAACCTGAATAAATTCAGTCTTGCCTGGGAATGGAACTCTGATCTTTACAATGACCGCACACAATGCTCTACAGTATCTACACTGTATTGAGCTAATCAAGTCAAATGGAGAACAAGCCATAATGAGTTTGTTTCACATAATTCAATTTTTCACGTCATTTCCACCATCAGGTCTATTTTAAAAGAACTCATAATGGCTTACTCTCCAGTTGGCTTGAGTATCTCAATGGATAGAGCACTGCACCCAGTCATCGCAAAGTCAGGATTGGATTCCCGGTCAAGCCTGATCACTCAATTATGCTCTGCAGGTAGGATATGTAATGAAAGCACCTGGAGATGTATCTGAACTACAAACACAGGACCTGTCATCTGTACAGGTAATTAAATACTGACTTCTGTTTCCTCTGATTTTTCTGAGCACAAACCCATGTGGAATTTGCAAAATGAAACAAAATGAGCATCCGTACTTTGTGAAATCTGTAATTTATGAAATGAAAATCTGTACTTTGGGAAATGAAAATCTGTAATTTTTTTAAGAAATTGCAAAAGGTAGCCATGCTGCCTTGAAAGTTGTTGAAAACATGGATAACACAATCCACTGGATAAATCTCTATCCAGTGGATAACGAAATCAGTTTCCCTAATACTAATCTGTCTGATAGTGATTCATCCAGTGGATGGTGCTATCTATCGTTTGAACAACTGGAGAGTGGCAGTCGGAGGTACATGTTTACCATGGAAGAGGCTTTGGTGGATCAGCACTGACTCCATCAATCTGTACTGTCTCAAGATCAGCAAGGTAAAATTTCTTTATGGCATTTAACAACTCCTGAGCATGACTGTTAATGATAGAAAAAAAGACAAATGTTGAGTGCATCATGTTCAGATTATTATTGTGGGTGATGTTTACACTGGGTCATGGCCATACATTTTACTATAACTACAAGTTAATGCCATTCATTACAGCAGGGACTTTCATATTTCATCATGGTTTAATAGTTGTGTCATTGACACCCCCCATAGTAGTAGGGTATTATAAATGTTATAATATATTGAGGTGAAAATATCCACGTTATTGTCAAAGTCACAAAACTGTGAACGCCCGAGAATAATTATTAAGTTGTAACCAATCAGAGCAAATATCAGGACAAGAGAGCGAGCCCAGGAGGAGGAGCACACCCTTATTTTTATTTTGGCCTACATGGGTACATTGCATATGCCACTGAATAGGATATGGTTTTCAGGATCTGGGGACCTTATAGTATATACAATTTCACTATTTAGCATCATAAGCAGGAAGCAGGGTATCCTTTCAGATGAGGCATTTAACAGAGTGTGAAGGTTGTATATATAATTATGTACATAAATTCTGATAAGAAACTTTTTCCAAAACAGCTAATTACATGATGTTGCATGTAGATTAAAAAATTACTTTATCATGCATTAAAAAATCGAATTCATTATATAATCTTAGGTCTACTGGTAAGCTCATATTGGACCATCCCAAGGGAAAGATGCTTACAACATTGGGAGCAAGATCATTTTCATTAGCAGCTCCGAAACTCTGGAATGGCCTACCTGTGGAGCTTTGTCAAGCAACATCACTTAACACTTTTAAATCTTGACTTAAAACCTATCTTTTTAAGAAGTATTTTTATAGTTTGTAACTTAGTTTATTTTATTCTCACGGTAATGTATTTTCGTTTCCTCTTAAATATATGATTGTAAAGCGCTTTTGATCAGAATGTGTAAATACGCGCTATAAAAACTGGTAAATTATTATTATTATGCATGAAAAACAAAACGAATCAATGTCATAAAATAAATAAGGCCGTCTTTTGTCTTGAACAGGCTAGGGCAGTGACCATGAACAGGTTTTGTCTTAAACAGGGTCAGTGTTCTAAGGAATCCAAGGCACAACTCTACTCAAACTTCCCTTGAGTATCCCTCCCAGGCAAACAAGCCACAAAGTCACAAACTAAGTACTCAACTGCCGCTTATAAGCCTTATAAATGGAGTGGCTCATAGAAGGAATAGAAAAGGTGGAGTGGCTTATAGTGGGATCAGAAAAAGTGCTTTAAAACAAGATACAATCATGTAAGAAGTGCTGGTCACTTATGTTTATAGATGGATACAGGGCCTTTAACTTGGGGGGAGGGATCAGGGCTGATAAGTGGAAGTTTCTGGTATGTTTGCTTGTCCCATTTTGTTTTTAAATGTAAAAAAGGTCCGACTTTTTGAAAAAGAAAATGAATAGAGAACACTTGAATTGTGACCCTGCAAAAAACTTTCTCAATATAATCGTGAAATGAAGTGAAATACAGCTGTATGTACCAATATGGTAGTTTCCATTGAAATCAAATCTAATTTTTCCTCCATTGTCTGAAAAATAATGCTCAATTTTCCACTAGACATGAGAAATAATTGTCTGCAGGCATGAATTGGTGTGAGATTGAAGTTTTTGATCAACAGGCTTGAATGAGACTCATTCAGTTGTGAAGAAACATGACAATCAGCATGTAACAAGCGTGTAACAAGAACAAATTGAGTCCTAGTCTTTGCGCACACATGCCTTACATTTACCAAGCGTAAAATTCAACACCTTAATCTTTATTGATACATGTCCATTTTGTACTCCTAGAATTTAAGAATGATGGCTGCATCAAAAATTACTGTGACAAAAATTAAGTGCCAAATAATATTATGCAAACTGTACTACAGACTTAAAGGTACAGAGGTGTACATGTATATTTTTTAAGCACATGATGAGCTGACTGCTTGAGCAAATTTGAATATCACAAGATAAGATCAGCAGTGCTTATTTACCTCCTGGTTCCAGTGATGCGGAATGTACTCGGAAGTTCCCTCTGAATGGCTTCCATAAAATCAGCGAACTCATCATCAGGAACAATTTGCTGAATCTATCAAATAATCAGTTAATTCTAGCATTACTGATATTCATATCTATTTTCATTCCAGTAAAATATTTCCATTAAATAAGTCCCCAGGATTAATTTTATCACAAGGTACATAAATCTTCAATTTACATGTACTTCAAAAAGTCATTAATAATTCATAACCCCACTGACCTATCAAAAGATCGATAATACATCATATGCAGTTACATTATTTCTGATAAAACCTCCCCTTATTAGTATGCGGTGTTTTATCAGATATAGTGTCACTGCACGTGTATTATGAATATTAATTTCAGCACAGCAACTTTCACAACAAATTCTCAGTGAATGTTTAATGTTCTTTCAGAATAACACACACAGCAAATTTTCTACTGTACAAAAGGAAACTTTGTTCTTTCACCAATTTAATCAGACAAATGTTCAGTCACTTGGCAGTAATATTTTCAAAGACTACTTTTTCACTGCACTTGTTGACTTTGGGGTACCATTTTTGATTAACTTCCCCTCTTCCTTGGCATTTTTAGGCTTCCGAAAAAGCTCTGGAACAAGACACCATGTCCTCTTTGGCTAATGTTGTTCATAGACTGGAAAATTTCTAAACATGTCTGAGATTTGATTTTCTTGGATAATAACTTCATACGTAATGTTTTTTTTTTCATATACTAATTTCCAACGTTCACAATAGCGTCATTGTTATCAACTGCATTGAGACACGCTTTTCCAGGATTGTCCTTAAAGTAATGTTTAATAAACTCGCGGCACGTGTTTTATCGGGTGTAAAATCAAAAGCCAAAATAAAACACTGCTGCTCGTTTATTAAACATTACATAAAGTACAGACACGTTTCACATACTGCATTGTAAGTCAATGACAAAACATAACATTGAACCATGTTTTGCATGAAAGTTATGTTAAGTTTTCCAAAGTCTAAAATAGGCAGTCTATGACTGCATGTGGCTTACTGTATAACAGTTCACCTAAATAAGGGACAACATCAGCTGACATTTGCAGACTTCATACTAAGCTAAATCATAATGGAATCAACCACAAGGAAACCAGAGTAGAACAAATAGCAAGAAAACTATAGGTATACAGTCTGAAAGTGTGACATATTGATACAGGGGTACATGTCCTGCTAATGTTTAATAGGTACCACTCCAAAAGGTAAGTCAGAATTTATAATAAAGAGTTGTGTTAAATGCAACCTAATTACCTAATAGTTCGTATTTGAGATGCTTGTAACAATGTTGTATATTTCATACTATTAAGGTTAAAGTAGTATATGTAAATCATCTATGAATTTTAAAAGAATTAATAACTATAACTATTTCAAGTAACACTGTTAGTAAGACAGGGCAATAGTGCTAGAAGAAAACAGTGATGCTAAAAATTACTAACACGGCTAAACAATACAACTAGGAGAGTAAAACTACACTCTCATGTAAAAATTAAACAAACATGCTAAGAAACATGCTAGGTCACAAAAGAAGAACAAGCGTCACAAATAGCATGTAACTCGTGTCAACAGTCATACATGTACGATATGAAACAAGACAAGAAAACACCAAAGCTAAACAAGGTCAAACTGAAAGGCTGTGATCTACAATCTCACTCAAAAACATGGCAAAACTAAGCAGAACACCAAGCTAGAGGAATAACAATGGCATCATTCAGATGAATTATATACCACTTTTGACTTTTTTGTTGACTTACAATAGTAGCTATAGAAACTATCTTCTCTCCAGATGAATCTTGTTTTCCAGAGTTTGTAACTTGCCGCCAATACTATGTAAACCAGGAACTGTTTTTAAAGCATTTTCTTATGCTTCTGTCTTAGTTTTCTAACTTTCAGTGACTATGTAACTTTTTTTAATCGTACTCTGGACAGCTCTTGATTTCTTTCTCTTCGAGTTACAACTTTTGAACATGCCTGAAGGAGGAATGACTCTTTATAAGGGTTTGAGATCGCCGCAAGGCAAAGATGTTCAGCTGCAGTAAACACTCAATTGCAATTTGATGGACTCGTACATTTTCTGAAACACTGGAAACTGAATTCTTTGCTAACAAGTTCTCCATAAATGCGAAGACAGCTGCACTTGATTCTTACACTTAAATGGTTTACACTCATTATGAAAAAAGAACTCGCCTTCCAGTCGATGCAACAAATGACTTGGCAGCTTTGAGAGCACATGGAAAATTGGAGATTTTTCTTGTGATCATGTGCTAATTCCGAGTAACATTCGAGGCCATTCAAAGCTATCCTCAACAAAATAATGTTGAACAACCGACAATGCTCCACAACAAAAAAGGGGCTAAGATCGGGAAATATTGGACCAAAATCAGCAGTGAGTTCGTTGTGGGCTTGGATTCTATTATTACACTCACTCACTCACTTAACGTGATAACATAGTGGCTTATCACCTTTAAGAGGCAGTAAGCCACAAAAATGATATTACCTTTCACTTATCAATACACTACTTACTTTATAATACTTTTCAAATAACTCATTTTTTCTAACAACGTCTATCCACTCCTGAACTTTAGACCGTGCTCTTCTCCTGCCTGTTCTTTTCTCCTTAAAGAGAAAAATATATATTTACAAGGCCCATAAGCTAAGTGACTGACCACTGACTGGTGTGCTAAGTGTACACCTCCTAATGTCCAAGTAGTCTCCCACGCAGTTCTTAGGGTTCTGTCATGTGTTCCTCTCCCAAAAAGGATGGAAGGGAAGTTAATGCTGTTACAATACATGTAGGAAAAGAAATACAGTTCGATGTCATAGATACATGCGAGACAAGTTTATACCTCTGGAGCTCTAGGACCGTAGTAAGTAGCCACGCTTGGGAAGTGAAAAGTGGTAAATTAATATGATCAGTTGTTACAGAGGGGGGTCAGAGGGGGGTCTTGTCATGAGTTTATGAACAACAAGTCAAAATTCGCCGAAAAATCAGCCCATTTCGCGGGATTTTAGCGGAAAAGAGTCAATTTTCGAAGGATTTTCAGGGCAAATAATTTCCTAAGAATTTCTTAGGAAAATTGGCCGATTTCACGAGAAATTTCGGGGGAAAACTTCGCCAAGAAACAATCAGTAAAAAACAGCCGATTTCGCTGGGTTTTTTTGGCAAATTTCGCTAAAATCGATCAATTTTGCGTCGATATGACCAGCGTTGGCGAAAGTTTTTTTTAACACGGATAATCATTTGCTCTTTCAACAAAAGTTCGCTCGAGAAATGGACGCATGTTCAACATTATGGTTAGTGCCCAGTTTTTCGCAACGTTCATCTAAAAACGCCCGGTAGTTTTGGGACATTGTTTACTCGTTGCAGTGATGAAGTTTCAAGCTAAATTTAGATGTTTGGGGTTAATAAAACCGGTCTAATAGCCAAGATAAGTATTAAATATGTTTTGCCGACATGTATTTGGAAATATTACTGGCGGATTTCGCGGTATTTTGCGTTTTTTGGGAAAATTCGCGGTATTTCGCGGAAATACCTGAATTTTGCGGGTCAGCGACCCCCCCACCCCACCCCCTTTACGGGTTCAAGATGTTTACCATGATTTGCTGCCAATATTATTTTGTTTATCAGCACCCCGGTAACTGGCAACCATTACACCATCAGTGATCACTAATTTGAGTAATCCAAAAGCAGATCATTGGATTCATGATCCATTTTGAAAATGGATAGCATCAATGGATGTTGTCCCACACACACCACTGGTAGCCATGCAAAGCCAACCACCACAGCCTGACCTTTATTCCAAATTCATAACAATGTACACATAACATACCCCTAGAAAGGTGGGACACTGACAAAATTACAATTATTAACATTACACATTAAAATTATACAGCCTACAAAACTGAAATCTTACTTACTGATAATTATTTACTTACTATCTTACTTACTATCTTACTGATCACATTAATTTACCACTTTTCAGTTTCCAAGAGTGGCCACTTAATACAGTCCTAGAGCTCCAGGTGTACAAACTCATCTCACATGCATTCCATGTGTGGAGTTAGGGGTGGGCCGAGGGAGCTGTGGCCACCCCTTTTCCTTTGAAATTTTGTATAATTTTTATATAATTCTGAGTCAGAAAAATAAAAAAGAACCTAGAATAGAGCTGTTAAGTGTCCCAGCCACCCCTTTCTGAATTTTCTGGATCCGCCCCTGTATTCTATTACATTGTAATGTATTTCTTTTCCTACATGTATTGCAACGACTTAGACATTAGCTTCCCTCCCACCGTTGTGGGGGAGGAACTCATGACAAAGTAAAGTAAGTAAGTAAGTAAAGGCTTAATTTATTTAGGGTAACACTTGACAGTAGTTAATAAAACACTGATAAATTTGTGGCCCTCATTACACTGTACAAAGCATCTAAGAAGTAAAATCAGTATTATAAGAATTCTAACACTATATACATTAAACAGTAAAAATGTCTACCAAAAGCTTAAAATATATTTAAAAATGACGAAAATTTTCTGAAATAAAATGTTAAATTTACATGCCTCATAACATGACCTTTCTTTCATGGATGTCCGAATTCTTAGTTAATAAATTATTAAGGTAAATAGGGGTATTAAAGTTGTTATCTAAGTAGTTATAAACTAAAGTGAGTATTTTAGTTAACGACTGCTTTGTAAATCAAGGTAGCTAGTTAAGGTTATTGAAAAGAGTGATCGGCGGAATTTTTCTGTCTGCGTCTAAAACAAAACCCTATAAATGACCCTAAAAACTGCATGGGGGGGCTGCTTGGACATTGGGAGGTGTACTCTTAGCACACCAGTCAGTGGTCAGTCATTAATGTATTGCTGACCAACATCATGAGGATTGTGTCTCAGTCATTAGAACATATTTTGACCTGAAGTCACATGTCATTGCAAAGTGAAGTAATGGCAGTGAAGGACTTGCAGGTAGATGACAAAAATAATAAACAGCTTGTATCCAACAATTAATAATGTGTCCTTGGTGTTATATGTAAAGTTTTGAGTGGAAAAACATTTTCTGGTGAAACACTTTACTTTCTTTAAAACATTTGCTATCAATAATAATAAAAATAATTGGGACTTGATATAACTTTTTTTTCTTTGAATGAGCTGCTGAATGGTCCACAACAAACTTGCTTGGAATGTATTGTTATTTTCTTGAAATCAATGGCTACAGATGTCACACTGTAACACTGAGGTCTGTCAGAAAAATGTAAATATGCGGGAGTTGCCGAGAGGGGGGGTCATGATGAAGTTTTGAATTGATTGGCGCATAAGATTCATGATTTGTGCGTAAACTTTCAGTCTAATCACGAATTTCAATGGCACATAACATTATGCATTGACTTATGGATGAAACCTCCACGACAAAATTTGTAGTTTTATCTTGCGCCTGCTGTCATGGTAATATTGGCAATTAGGAACCCAAATTCCGTTCTTTTGGTCCAAATGAGAGCCAAGCTAGACAAATCCTGGTTTTCTTTAAGGATCGCACCCAATGTATGAGAGCTAAAATAGTGTTTCAACTTACAACATAGCAATTTTTGGCTGAGCATGTTGTAAGAACAAGGAATAAAACACCTCTTTCATTGAAGAAATGAAAGAAACTACCAACAAAGGGGAGCGTTGTTTCATGTACGAAGTACTGCACTGGGGGTCAATTTAAAAAAACTATTACAAGTGTAATTTACAACAATGGGCACACTTGTGAATTACATGTGTGTGTATACATGTAGAAGTGTTATTAAATTGGCCCCTAGTGTAGCGAAAGAGTAACGTGAATATATCTAGAGTCTGAGTTGGTCAATGCGAGCATAATAAATGCATGATGCTATGCAGATACTTTCTTGGATGTTTTCCTAAAGCGTCAAAAAAATCCTACCCGTCGTTTCCTTGCCATCTGTCGTCCAACATACAATCCAAATTTTGGCCCAGCTAGAAAAACTGCCACCACATGGTGCCAATGTTGGCTGAGCAGCCAGGCCGTGGATAAGAAACAGTGATTCCTACATGACGTATCAATTTGCAACACGTGCAGCAGGCGTGCAGTCTTGGTCTGGTCTTGAGACACATGTAGTTTTGTTGACGTCTAATAATTTTCTTGTGTATGGAATGAATGAAACAGCTTTTAAATGAAGTTTTTAGTTCACAGGGTTCGATTTGTGGACTATGTACCGCAAGCAATCCATTGTCTGGCAGTTGAAGACACCAACGAGCCGTCCAAACTTGCTCTTTCCAGGTACAAATCTCTTTGTTGTTTTGCATGAAATGCAATCTACAGATCACGCTGAACTGTTGTAATCATAACCGTCGCTATACGATTTACGGTGGGGGCTGGTGTACCAATAATGAGATAGCCAGCAGTCAACTTAATGTTGTACCTGCTCGGGTGTCTGAAAAACACAGACCCAATCATACATGCATATAAGCTTAAGCTTTTTAACCACTCATCGTAACCCTCGCGAGAACTAATGAACTAATGTCCTCATCAAAACTCAGATGAAGTTATAGTTGGTTGCATTACCTTTGTTTTATGATATTCATACGTGAAAATTCCAAAGAAACTTTGGTGTTGCATCAGTGGGAGACTAAAATACAGAGATTTGGTTTTATCCGTTGAGTTGATATGGTAGATTGACCACCGCAAGGAGATAGAGAAACTGTCGTTTTAAGCGCTGCAGCCCTTAGTTAGACCAAATCGACATGGAAGTTTGTGCTCTAAACTTTAGCTTCCCTATCTGCCCGTGGTGGATCCAATCTTAGAGATGTGAAACGTTAGACTACGAGTAGTCCCCCATTTTTCCTCAGGGACAGTAGAGCGAGCGAAACGCGAGCGCGCGTGAAAATCACCCCACACGAGAAAAGGCGACACGCGGCGGGGAGAGAGAAAAATGAGGGACTACAGACAAAGCCCAAGCTTTTGAACTAATGCGTTGCTCTCACAATGCAAAACTCTGATTGGCTCTTCCATGGAACTCTGTCAACATCTGTCGAAAACGCGCCAGCCGCTATCAACACTCGACATAATCACAATTTACAGAACAGATAACTAGAGAAGAACTAACAGCACAGAACAAATAACTAGCGTTGCTCTTGTAGAAGCAACTAAGCAGAAAGCCAACCCGGCAACTGATGAGGTTCGCGTGGAGAACGGAAACCATGGTCTCGTCTGATCACAAAGTGGGAATAATAGAACAGTCGCAAGGCTGTTAAGCTAATTCAAAAGTTATCACCAAGGGAGGAATTGCGTGCTCCAGTCCAAATACTCACATTATCTCCAGAAAAACAAGCGGCAGTTAAAATTCGTAAGCAGTCATGACTGAGTCACATCGCAGCTCTTCATAGTTGATGTAGTTGCAATCCATTCTTCGAGATTTGGATATCACTATTCGTCCTGCTAAAAACGCTAACGAGCTGGGCCCAGCATGACAAAACATTGCAGGAAACCGTCACATTCACGGCTAAAAAGGAAATCGCTTAAAATTGTTCAGATCCAGGAGGCAATCGCCGGAGAAATTAAACAACCCAAAACCCTTATTTAGCTGTATTGAAGAGCTTTACTTTCAAAAGAGGTCAAAGAAAATGCTCTTGCATCAGAGGGCAAATCATGCCGACCATAAACAATAACCGCAGAAAATTAATATGCGTGTCACGACCTCTCAGTATGAAATAAGCTGCAAAAATCACATTTGCTCAGTCAAGAAGTTTTCCTCCAGAGCATAATCTACCCGTCACAGAAAAAAAAATCATTGGAACAAGCAGCATTTTGCCATGAGTAAAAGTCGTGTGTTGCCTACGCTATCAAGTTCTTTACGCGAAGTAGCCGTGAAGAAAATTAGTATCTGGGTTTTCTTTTGCTTGCAATAAATATCCCCCGCAGTTTACCGATGACAAGAGCAATGACAGCTCAATAAGAGAAGGAATCCCATTGGATGCGCTTAATTGATTTGGAAGGGGATACGAATTTTACACTCCAAAATCAGTCGGCCGTGAAGGGTCAAAAGCTTGGGCTTTGTCTGTAGTCCCTCATTTTTCTCCCTCCCCGCCGCGTGTCGCCTTTTCTCGCGTGGGGTGATTTTCACGCGCGCTCGCGTTTCGCTCGCTCTACTGTCCCTGAGGAAAAATGGGGGACTACTCGTAGTCTAGTGAAACGTGCACCACACGCACATCATCTCGCTAATTCATATGACATTTTATTCCGACAGGGGCAATTAACACAATAAAAATATGCTTTTGTCCCCAAACGATAACCGGAACCTCCGTAAATACATCATCGATTTTATTTTAAAAATTACAAATGTCTTTCAAACAGAGCAACTTCAGAACACTGGGCCACTTTACTTAGATTCATTTACATTGTGTGGGCCGCACCGAAACGTTTCTTTGTAACTACCAAACTACTACTTTGTAAAAACCAAAACCAAACCAAAGTCTCCAGGTAATTAAAAGCAAAAGGACGCGCGCGAGGAGAACGCGAGACCACAAAAATATTGTTTTCGAAATGTAACCTCATTAGCAGAGATTCTCCGTGAACGGACCACAACAGTATTGTTCTAAATAAATATCAAAAAGAAAAAGAAAAGCCTTCTTCCGAATAAATGGTTACATACTGTGCTTTCCAGTTTCCAGGACATACTAAAAGTGCCGGAAATGGGAATTTTGCCACACATGTCGTGTTTGTAATGAGAAAGCAAATCATTTACTAATAAATGCCGAAAAATTTAACTGGCGGAGAGTCTCCTACAAGAAAATCTCCTATTAAAAAACACTCTAAGACACACATATAGCTTTTGTGTACAAGCTTGTAAACCCCTTAATTTTCCAGTTATTGTGCAAGTGATTTCATAATACCTTGCTGTCTAACTCACGGAATCACGGGCATACCACCTCGTGTTTCTGTTGCATGATAAAAATCACAACTTAGGAGTTTAAAACACCATGGCATTACAATAAAACTCGTTACTCCAACTAAATCATGTTAACCTTTAAATTTCCACTTAGTGCGCAAGTGATTTCATATTGTCTTGGTGTCTAAACTCACAGAATCACAGGCGCGCCACCTAGTGTTTCTGTTGCTTTAAAAATGGCACTTAGGAGTTTAGAACACCATGGCATTACAATAAAACTCACTTACTCAAGCTAAAACATATTTATATTAGACATATTAACTCTTAATTTTCTTCTGTGCGCAAGTGATTTAATAATACCATGGTGTCTAACTCACAGAATCACGGGCATGCTACCTAGTGTTTCTGTTGCTTTGAAACTCGCACTTAGGAGTTTAAAACACCATGGCATTACAATAAAACTCGCTTACTCAAGCTAAAAATCATAATTATTAACCTTTAAATTTCCACTTGGTGGGCAAGTGATTTCATATTGCAGCAGTGTCTAAACTCACAGAATCACGGGCATGCCACCTAGTGTTTCTGTTGCTTTAAAAATGGCACTTAGGAGCTCGCTTACTCAAGCTAAAAAATATTTATATTAGACATATTAACCCTTAATTTTCTTCTGTGCGCAAGTGATTTAATACCGTGGTGTCTAACTCACAGAATCACGGGCGTGCCACCTAGTGTTTCTGTTGCTTTGAAACTCGCACTTAGGAGTTTAGAACACCATGGCATTACAATAAAATTCGCTCACCTGTGCTAACCCATACGAAATCTTATGGCCTGACTGAACCAAAATAAGGCCTTAATAAGGCCTTAAATGGAAACATAGAGCAAAAGATCAACCAAAGCTGAACCTAACAGCTTGAGCCAAAAAAA